AAACCATTCATAATTGAACAGAAAAATGGAAATTATGCTTCGTAATTGAGTTCCAAGACAATTTTTTTTTTAGGAATATATTTTTTGCCTTAAATCTAAATTTAGTAGTTCAGTCCTGATAGTCATCATAAAGAATTTTTTTTAAATAAACAAAAATATTTGCTATCCAAACATTTTTATTAAGGACGGGTTGTATATGAACTAAACATTTACTACCTTATTATTTATGTTGAACCATCTTTTTATTGAATGATTCTTTTTTTAACTTTATGACATTAAGTTTGCCATTGTGCTCAAAACATACTGCGAAGCAATGTGACTGGGAAAAAGATTACAATCTATACTGACAGTCAGGCAGCAATAGGTGCTCTAAACAATTATTATGTGTACTCAAAGGTTGCTAATGAATGCAGTACAGCACTTAACAATCTGACTGAGCTTAATAGAGTTGCAGTAGAGTGGATGCCTGGTCACTCAGGCATTCTAGGCAACAAAGAAGCAGACCAACTAGCCAGGTTCCTGAATTCCTGAATCTGTTTGTGGAATCAGCCTTAGTAATGCCAAAAGTAGGATTAGGGAGATTTATGGTAACATATTCAAACAATACTGGACTGAGAAGAAACTATGTCATTCGAAGCTGTTCCTTAAAGGTCCATGTAATAAAAGAAGTAAACTGCTACTGAATATGGGCAGAGCAGCTATTAAATAGCTTACAGCGATCTACCACAGGCCACTGTAAGTTAAATTATCACATGTTCGATCTCCCAGTGACGATGAATCTGCTATGCTATGAGGAGAATGAAACAGCCTTTCACATCATCTGTCGATGTGATAGATTTGCAAGGTTAGACTGGAGCTATTTGGAGAACGGATGGATTGCCCCAGTAGCTACGAGTCGGTCAATCCAATAAGCCTACTAAGATATGCGGAAGCGACAAAAATAACTTTTTAGAAATAAAACAAAGAGCATAATAGATTAATTGGTGCACAATAGATTCTTCATGGGCCGCGGTGCCAACTTTTTTTTTAAGCCAACTCTTAAAAAAAAAATCTTAATTTTGTTCAGAATGAAAATAATCTATTCATTTATTCTTGGCCAATTCAATGACATTTAAGAATACATTTTTCATTCTATCAATTTATTCGGTTCGGAAATAATTTATGTTCTGTTTTTATCAAAATTTAAATGTCAATAAAATAAACACATGTTTTCTGATAAATATTTAATGAGGTTAGGAGATATTTTTTTGATATAAAAACTTGATAAATGTATTTGTCAACATTGTTGTGATGTCCTTATTCAAACATTTGATTTATTAACCTTTTCTGTACTTATTAATTTTTTTTTATCTCTATTTTTACTAACTTAGGCTTTGCATGTTAATCTTATGTAAATAAATAAATTATTCCCTGTTTTATAAACATATGAAAATCAATTATACAATGAAGTGATGCTTTCTATTAATTTTGTTACCATAACTATTTTTTATTTTAACACTTATTTCAAGAGAATTACATCAAAATATGAAAGATAAAATTTACTGTTCGAATTATCATGGTTGCATTAATTAGAATATATCTTTGTTCAACATAAATGAACGACTTCAACAAATGTATATTTTACCAATATTAGCTAAAATATCGCCCAGAATCAACAAGTCATCATAATACATGGAGATATGGCATTACCACTTTATTCAGTTGGTTTTTAAGATAGAATGAAAAAGGCGATCAACAGGATATGTAAGAACTACTTTAAAAAGAAAAAAAAAACCTCAGAGTGCATGTCGTCATTGGAATAATTTGATAGTTAATTCAGCCTAAGTTTTGAAGTAATTTTTTTTATCAAAATGAATAACTAGGATTCTACTTTATTTAAATTATTTATTTATTTTGAAAGTACTTAACTTCAAAAATTTTGTTTTTTTAAAATTTATATAAAACTTAGTGTTCTAGTTCAATTAACCTCGGCCTTAGCAATTTTAATTGTTTTATGGTAGTGTAATGTAGAGTTAATAATAATTTTTTTTTTCTGTTGGTATTTCAAGGACTTCCAAGGACAGCTATATCATCTGTATATCCAAGGATTTTATGATTCATTCTGACATGGGACCCTCCATTTTCCTTTCATGTTGCTCTTATTATCTTCTCCAGGGCTGAGGCTTATTGAACAACATCGGTGATAGTCCATCTCCCTGCCATACGCCCGTCCAAACTTTGAAAGCTTCAGATACTTCTCCTTGTATTAGGACTCTACATTTTGGGTACTTTGTACACGCCTTTGTCAATTTACCGGGAACTCCTGTCCACAGAATTATAGGCAGCTTTGAAATCGACAAATAGGGTGTAGACGTCCTGAGCTACTTCGCATAATTTTCCGAGTACTTGTTTTAGGATGAAGATCTGGTCTAGCGTGCTCCTCCCTTTCGTGAATCCAGCTTGGTGGTCGCCTATTATATTCTCCTAGTACAGATATATATTCGGTTTAGTAGGATATTGGTCATAATCTTGTAGGCAACCGAAAGGAGTGCTATGGCTCCGTAATTACTAAACTCATACATGGAGCCTTTCTTAAGGATAGGACAGGTTAGGCCCTTATTCCAAGCCTCAGTTATTCTTTCATCTTCCCATATTTTCTGGATTAGTTGTAACTTGGCTCTTAAGTCGTCTCCTCCACCTTAAAACAGTTCTGATGGTAGATTGTCTATCCCTGGGGCCTTTCGATAGCTATACCTATATCCAATATATCAGGTTTTTCAATCTCTTTTGGGCCAAAGTCTTCAGTGTGGTCAATGTCTTCTTGATTAGTGGGGTCTCCTCGATTGAGAAGTTCCTGGAAATGTTCTTTCTAAATGTTCAGTATACTTTCTTTAGATGTTGCCAGAATGCCATCTTTTCCTCACATTTGCATATTTCTTGCTTTGTAATATCCTACTGTTTCTTTCCTAATGTATGCGTAGAATTCGCGTATATCTCTAGCCTGCCAGTTGTCCTCAATGGTTTGCAGTCTTTCTTTGGGAAATTCCCTTTTTGCCAATCTTATAGTTTTGGTTGCCTTTTGGCAGCTGTGTAGTTGTCCTGAGCAACTTGATCAGCTATAGTTAGACAGATGACTTTCATTTTTCTTCTTTCCTCTGTTGCCTTTTCGCATGCTTCCGTGAACCATTTGTTAGCTTTTCATTTCTCCTAAATACCGATCGATAGTAATAATTTATTTATTCTGGGACAACTTCCTTTAGAATTAAGTGCATAAACAGAATTGTGGGCTTTAGGGTCTCAGAGCTCTATAAAAAAGAATAAAAAATAGTAATAATATAAAAATATTAGTTAACTCTAGCTTTAATTAATTTTTAAAAAAAATAAACAAATACGAAATAATAATATTAAAAATGAACTAATAATTTATATACATATTAAGAAAAGCACCTTGCACAATATTTTGGAGACTGGATGGATAGAAAGCGATTGAACTGTTGGGATTTAAAGGTGGGAAGGGTAGTGGAGTAACTGATGCTGGAAAGGATGGAGTTTCATAGGGATGAGTTAAGTTCAAACTTTCAACTGGTATGAGCTTCCCTTTACAAAGCATGAATTCTAAACATTTTTGTTTCACAAATAATCCAGAAAAACTCCCTAAAAGTGAAATATAACTAGGTTTACAGAAACCAGTTCCATCCTGTCGTTTAAGTTGGACGTTTCAATTTCCATTGTACAGCTGTATTGGTGTTTATTCATTATGAGCTGTTTTTTTTTTCTTTGTGATAAGTGAACCTTTGTGATGATTGTTTACTTTAAACCTCAAGCAGGGTTCGACTATTTTAAGGGACTATTGGCACTATGTATCCCACTGATACTGTTGCGTGATGAGTTCTAGCTAACTCAAGTCCTTGATTTAAAGATTCAGCTGCATAAATGGTATGCTGGTATTCTAGACGTTTTTAGGTTTTTAGAACGGAATAAAACCCAGCACACATATACAGTTGACCCTCAATAATTGGAACTTTGATAATTCAAACTCTTTAGCTGTTAACTTCGGTAAATTAAAAAAATGCCATATTTTGATACACTTGATAACTCAAAATCCATTTCATAACAAGAAGGGGAGAGAACTTTCTATAAGACCACTTCCTCTCATTGCAATTCTACATTTTTCTAGCAATGTTTTTTACATTAGTCTATGTATGTACAAAATTTATAAAAGCTCATACATATTTCCAAAAATATAACAACTCTTAATAATTTGAATTTTTCTTTTTGATAATTCAAACTTCATAAAAATTTGAAATCTTGATAATTCAACTTATTCTTGTAGTTCCTTGGATTTGTAATTAACGAGAGTCGACTGTATGTGGTTAGAGCTGTTTAAGAGTTAATGGCATTTATGTTTTTTATTTTTGCCTGTTTAATTTGGCATTTTTTTTAATATTATCCTAAATTTGTCATCGTTTTGAATCCTAAATTCAAATTTTTGACTTGAAATCCACGGATATAGGGTAACCGACTATTATTTCATGTCTTAAAATAGTTAACACTATACATTTAAATGGTTGATAGCTTTCTACATCAATACAGGGTCTCTATCTATCTTCACCTGGCCGCCATTTTGTATTCCAGCAGCTGTATGCAAGCAGGTGTGCATTTTCCTTATTATACCTGTGAACATGATCAATTTATAAGGACAAACCTTAGTTAAGGACCAATCCCCATTTTAAAAATTATACAACTGTTCATTTAATTGTATTACTTGTTGCTCAAATTGTATAACTATAATTTACATGTATTCTGTAGTTCAAATTTTATTATTTTTTATCAATATAAATGAATAGAACGAAACCACAGTTTGGACAAAAATGTTTATTTCTTTAAAAATCTATATTATACATTGCACCTTATAGCCAATTTATATTATTATGTAATTATAAATATTCTTATTCCCAATTTGTAATCATATTAAGGTAAAATTATATCTGGGATTAAGAAATTTGGTGTCTTTGTTACAGTCCGTTTCGCTGATGACTTTCTTATGGTCTATCCTGCTTTGTATTTGTAAAATAAAATATGACATGGTCACTAACAACTTTTTCATATAATAAAGAGATTATTGAGAAAACTATGGATTAGGGAGACCAGTGGCCGGAGGATACTACCTGCACTTATAATTTCTAAGATTGTTTTAAATTTTTATTATGGTGTTTCTCTGTATGTTTAGAATTTGTTTAATATGACATTATTAATATCTATATTACAATCTATTTTCTGCCTTTTGTTGCAGTTGATGGAGGTGTGGGTACTGCTGAGCCTGGCGTTTGTGGGCTCCGTAACTTAGGCAATACATGTTTTATGGGTGCCGGGATCCAATGTTTGATGGCTACCGCTCCAATAGCTATTGCATTGTATAAAACTCCAAGTACACCGAACCATCCCTTAACTAACAGCCTTGCTGACCTCACCCGCAAGATATGGTGCGGACGTTATACAACATTTCAGCCTATGCAATTTAAAATGGCATTAGCTTCACATTTCCCCCAGTTCAATGATTTTCGACAGGTGTGTTACTCCTAAATTTTCTGATATTTTTTTTAAAATTTTTTGTTATGAAATATATATTTTAATGTTTGAACTTTGTAGCATGATTGTCAAGAATTTCTTGCTCTTCTTCTTGATGGCCTCCATGAACAGCTGAATACTGCCACCAGCAAAGATATCGCATGTCAAGTTGAAACGGAAGAACTTCCAGAGAAACGTAATGTAAGTATAATCCGGCCAAATTATTTTATTGATTTTGGTTTATTGAAATTCACATTTTGCCTTCTGTAGCATTTCGTTTTTCTTTCTTCCATGAACTTTCATCTGTCTATGTTTCAAATTTTGCTATTCTTAAGAACTGAAGAATCTCAAATTTCTCATAAGTTAAATTCTTCTTTATTTGTGCATGATATACTTTTATTGAATGTGAAAGTTCATATCATTTATGGAAATGATATTTTTCTTTTTAATTAGATTTTAAAACAAGTACCAGATAGTGTTAATTTGTGTTCGAGAATATTTTAATATTCGATGTATCATTACTTCAAAAATATCATTTGAAAATGGGACATATTTCTTTTGTGTTTTCTACATTTTAAATTTTATGTTATATTTTCTCAATGAATGCAATATTTTGTCAGTTTATTGCAAAAAGGTATTGAGTGACATTTCATTACCTTAAAAAATGATGGATTTTCCCTTTATCAAATTAGGAAATTCCGCTTATTGTAGGTATATTTTATATATAAAAATGTTTGTTTCATTTCTATGCACTCAAGTGTATTTTAATTGATAAGTAAAGTTGAAATTTACAAAATTATATTTGGAAGTTAATTTTTTTTTTATTTTTATTTATTTATTGAATATTATAACAATCTGTCACTTGGACATTAGTTGTAGTGAGGTAGGATAACATTCACACTATATGTACAAAAAATATAAAATAAATAGATAAATAAATTAGTGGCTTTTTGCAATAAACCGACAATTTTTATATATATAATAGAATAAAAAATAGCTTTAATTAATTTAGATAGATAGATAGATAGAAAGTAAAATTCTATTGCATTTCTATTGCAAATTTTGTCAGATTTAATTTCATGAATCACATTAATATAGATAGAACACATAGTTTCACTGATATAAGCGAAAAACCGAAAAAAGTAAACTTTCAATCGTAAATTCAATTTTTCGAATTGAAATCCATCTGTATGGGGCAACTGACTATTATTTTATGTCTTAAGACTGTAAATACTATAAATTGAAAGGGTTTATAGCTTTATATGTCTATAAGCTCTCTCTCTATATACGCTTACAACCTATGTAGAGTCTCTTCTATCTTTACATGGCCGCCATTTTGTATGTCAGTGGCTAAGCGAAAAGATGAAAAAAGTAAACTTTTTTAATCGTAAAATCAATTTTTTGCCTTGAAATCCATGGGTAGGGAGTAACTGACTATTATTTCATGTCTTAATACTGTAATTACTATAAATTAAAAGAGTTGGTAGCTTTATATATCTATGAGCCCTCTCTATATATACGCTTACAACCTATGTAGGGTCTCTATGCAACTTCACATGGCTGCCATTTTGTATTCCAGCTGCTGTATGCTGGCAGACATGCATTTTTCTGATCAGGCCTATGGATATGATCAATTTATAAGGACAAAGCTCAGTATGAAATATTACACCTTTTATGCTACGGGCTCGCGCGGACCGAATATATGTGTTTAGAGATTCAATGTCTTTAATTAATGTCTTTTGTGGACTGTTGATTCTCTATTTAATAGAGATCTATTTGGTTTTCATTTATACTATTTTTGTTGTTACTGTTCTAATGATGTCTGATTAGGCTAAACGATGACGAGATTGTTATTTGTAACTTTTTTTTCTTTTCTTTAAAAGTCTATTCTTAATTTCCCTCTTTGTATGGTGGCTCTCCAAAAGTCAGGTGATATAGTAATAAAATGTTTGATACTTGCACATACAACTCTCTCATCAATACCATACTTTTCTATAAATATCATTATGTTTTCTTAAAAATTCACATTTTTCAGTTATTTTTTTCTATTTTTGGCTCTCCTGTAAAATTTCAAAAATTGTCCTAAACAGTCTTGATATAACAAGTCTCAAATTTATGTTAGCTGCTAATATTAAATGTACATTGCTATGTTTACTATGTTGGGAAGTACTGTTTCAATGCCAGCAGTTGTGCAGAGAGGTAATCGGCCAAAGACCCCACACTCAACTGCCAGGTTTTCTCCCTCAATTATTTAATTAAGAGTACCAACTTTATAGTGATTGGGTGAGCCCCAGGAGGGTCTCCAAACCCCAGGATTGATCCGTGGTTGATGAAAAATTACAAAACATCTGCCAGATTCAAAAACGGGACCTTGAGCTTAGTAGTCCAGTGCCCAACCCACTGAGCTACTCCACTCCCTAGTGTGTTAAATTGGACCCAAAAACCCTGTATCAGTTATATAGCCCTGTAGCTCTGTACATCATAAGTTAAATTGAATGAGGATAGGATGCGTTCATTTATTGTATGAGATATGACTGAGATACATAATCCAAATTTTCGACCTCTGCCGAAGTTTCGTATGCAATTAATGTTAATGTTTGTTAAATAATTTTTTTATTTTAATTTCAGTCTTTAGTTGTGAAAAGTGATCTTCCTCTCCCCCACCTAATCCCCTCCTCCCCCTTCTTCAGAATGTTAAAATGAATACGAATTTACATCACTACTGATATAAGACAGGTTATTGAGGATATAAAGACAATTGCATATAATCAAACATGAAAAATATCTTAAAAGTTCCAAGTTTAAAAAATTTTCAAAACTTTTGAATACCTGTATCATACTAACTATTATAAACTTACTGAATCTGTTTTAGTATTAAATTTTAGCATATTTAATCTATTTTAAAAATGTATAGACTGTTTTTTGTTGAAAACATGCTCTCCTTCATGTCAAAAATGACAAGGTTATTGGGCTATATAGTGGTGCAGGTTTATATTAAATGGCTGTAATTATTAGTAATTATTAGGCTCCATGGTAATTAGATTCCATTTATAAAAACATTAAAGTGTATTGTTTTCATGTATAATAATTCAAATCCACACAGTGATTTTAATCTGTCCTCTTATTTTTTTTTCTATGTATATATATTCGATTTTTGGTTTCAATGTTTCAGGTGAAAGTTTCTACTTCTCAATCTACCAGCCAGGATATTATGATTGATTGTGATCCAAAATGTGATGGCAAAGAATTACATTTATTTAAGGATACGACTAGGGATAAAAAAAGTAATCTTGAAAAAGGTACCAATGCGAATTTTTGTTCTCCCGAGCCTTATGTTCCGTTACCTGTGACATCTCATATTGAGAAATGTGATAACCTAAACTGTGATAAGCAGCTGAATAACAAGCAAGGGATTTTATTAAATCGGGACATGATTTCCGTTGTAAATAATACCGCTCCTCATATCACTGGAATAGAGGATATTTTAAAAGAAGCCAAAACTTCTAATCTTAACGTTCTTGTAACCAGGGAAGAAGCCAACAATGAACTAAGGTATTTAAAGTAATTTAGTTTAATTTATGTCTTCTCGTTATTGTTCGTTGAAATATTTTGATTTTGTAGATTTGATTCTGAAAAATTCCCCAGAAGTGATACCTCCCGTAGAAGAGGGGAAACATTCAATGTTAATTCACTTCATCTTTTCGATAATAATACTAGTGGCAAGCGTAATTCAAGCTTATCCAATCTCCCGATATCTCTTGATTTCAAAGATGGTCTAGATCTGAAAAGAGTGAAACTCCATTCGATTGCTGACGAAGTTGAAGAAAAGAACAAGCGAATGGAGCTAGAGAGGCAGTGTAAATCTCCTGACTTACTGCTCGAAAAAAATGAAAGGTATATAAATATAAGATAGTCATCAATAATAATAGCACTAAAAATCTGTGCCAAAAGAGGAGGCAGTTACGAATAATGATGGAGTACGATTTCGAAATAATTCCAGTTAAATGTTAAGTAGAAGTGTGTTGTGTGGTACTGGTACTGTGGTACTGTCATAAATGAATCTTCAATAAATTCTAGGCCTTCATTAGAGCTAAGCTAAAAAAAAAAAAGTAAAAAACAAGTTAACAAGAATTAAGAATAGCTATAAACAAAAAAATAGAACAGTATGAAAATGTGGTGAATTAATGATAAATCGGATGAAGCATATGTGTAAATACTAAAAAATAATTTATTTGATTATGTAAGAGAGAGAAATACTTTATTTTCATATAGTATATATATATTTTAACATAATTATTTAAATTTGGAATTAGATCACTAAATAATAAATCAATAAACTACAAATTATTCATTGATCCTGTTATTTATTCGATTTTTTCATCCTGGTGTTTGTGCTTACAATGGGATCCTCGTCAGTGCTAGAACAACAAATAGCTCCAATCGGTACAGAATCATGTTTCGAATAATAATTATTTCAAAATTTAACTCTAAAATAAAGCCTGGATACCTCTCGCCAGGAACACGCTAACAGCCTCAGCACCGCCCATCAGCGCAGATATTAAACTACGGGCTGCTAAGCGTTCGGTCATGACCTCGAAGCCAAAACAATGAAAAATGCATCTATGATAAATATAACAATATCAAGAATATATCAATATCAACTACAATAGCTTGTACAACATCTCTTGGTTATAAATCAAAGTATTAAAATTAATTAACATTAAATAAATTTATATTATTGAACTAACTTTAAAATTGTTAAAGCATACAACTAAGTATCAAGAATTTAAAATATATATACCATAGTCATCTTTTAAAATGTTTTCAACATTATAAAAGTATGAAACAATACTAAAAAAGATTAATTACGATTCCCATTCTCTAATTGTATTCTAACTTTCACTAAATAAACATAACATCAATTGATAACCAGCCTAAAAACCTAAACCAAATCTCTCATATAAATATTTTAAAATGTTGCTATATGCACAATTTAATTTTGCCAGTAATATGTAAAATCATATATATATATTGATTTAATTGATTTACTTAGTCTAGTCCTGATAAACTCCTAAAACTTAGACTGAAACATCGGCACATATTTTATGATAAGATTTATTATTTGTGTTATTTCATCTATTTTCGTTGTCTGATGATGTATTATTCATAGATGTGTATTATTCTTATTATTTCTCGAAATTAGAGAAATGAAGAAACTTGAGAAAATGCTTCTCCATTTGTTAGTTATAAAATTCTTTCATGTTTTATATTAGCCTTATCTTATTACTTACTACTAATCACATGAGACTGTTAATCATCTCAAATAAATCATACTAAAGGTATCTTAGAGGAAGCCATTTTGAAAAATTTGGCATTTAAGCCCTATTAGACGATTTCAATGAGGATAAGACCTACCTGATATTCAAAACTATTTAATTGTATATTGATATGATGATTTTATTAAAAATACAAGCTATCAAAATACGATAAACAATTAGTATATTACTGATTTTATTGTTATGAATTAAAGAAAATTTGATTTAATTCATATTTTTTATCCTAGATCTAAACCATTTGCTGCCCGAATCACCTTTCAGCATCTTTCTTGATTCTATCGATCCATCTGGTCTCAAATACAAGTTAGGCATATTCTAAATATATTGTGGTTGAAATCGAGGGATACAGCTTGTTAATATTGCAAATAATAAACTAAATTTCTACCATTTTTATTAGGCTGAAGCATGTTGATAATTGGTTGATGAATATTAATAAGTAAAACATATAATATAGTTAAATAAGTAAAACTGAAATGAACCAACAATTGACAGCTAGGGTAAAACTCCTAGTTTTCAGCACCCTTAAGGAAACTTTAAAATGTGTTTATCCCATTTTCAATCTCGTGGGTACTTGATTTAACAATTTTGGTTCTATTAAGTCACTAAAGATCTCTTATTAATCAAAATATATATGTAAAACAGTGACTCATTTATTTTTTTATAGTAAAATATAAAAATATCTGTATGTGGCAGTTTTCAATACTATTTTTCGGTATTCCTTACTTAACTTTCAAAAACTTAAAGAATAAATCTGGTAGCTTTCAGAATGAAAGAACTAGAAAAATATTATGCAGAAACGTGCGGATCTTGCCAAAAATGTTAGTTAGACACGCCCATCTTAGGCGACACACCTTTCAGGTTTTTAATCTTCAGCGTTTTTTTTTTAAACCATAAAATAAATAGATAGTGAGATATGCTTGAATATACAAGCACATGAGGGATTTCCGCTTCAAACAAGTGCTTTTCACTAGCTCTAGACCATTTACAACGCTTTATATTCTTCAATAACTGCAAATTGGGTGCCGACAACTGTGTGTCTTACCCTAATCTGTTTTATCTTGGACTTTTCATTTCTTTTTAATAAACTTGTATTAACTAAAATTAATGGGTGTAGAACACACGCTTTTATATTTTCATTACTTTTATATTTGGATTTTTTATTTTTTAGAATGGAATGTGAAAGGAAAGGGAGCACTAAGGAGGATATCACAGATGATATTACTAGCTCACTGCTTTCTCCTAACCTCGCTGATATTACCTATGACAAGACGTCTGAAGTTGAAGCAGACTCGCATTGGCAAAAACATTTGGCAGAAAATAAAAGTGTTGTTGTAAATACTTTTCAGGGCCAATTTAAAAGCACTGTAGGTTTTTCACCAGTTATTTATTTTTTAAAAGTTTAGTACTTATTAAATTTAAAGCTGTAGGTTATCTGGAATATTCTGCAAAAGTAATTAAGTTTAGATGATGTTATGAAATCAAGTCATAAATTTTTGAAGGTTGAATTTGGTTTGGAAAGAGTTTAATTTTAATTGGAAAAGTTAGAAATTGATATGAAAAAAGTTAAATTTGATTCGGAAAAGGTTGAATTTTACTTGAAAAATTGTAAATGACTTGAAAATACTATATATTTTTATTTATTATTATTATTTTTTTTTTTTGTAGGTCGTTTGCTCTGTATGTAAATTTATATCTGTTACGTATGAACCATTTATGTACCTCTCTGTTCCTCTTCCAAATGCAATGCAAAAGAAGTTAAGTAAGTAATACATTTTTATTTAGTATTTTTTTTCTATAAATTAGTTTTTATAAAAAAATTTATATATTCTATATAAATGCTGTTTAGAGGTCACATTCATTGGAGAATCATTAAAACATCCTACCGAGTTTCTATTAGAATTGAACAAGTATGATAATGTCAACTACTTGAGGGACCAAATTTTAATTAAAGTTGGGTGCGAAGTTAAAGGGCCCATAGTGATAGCTGAAGTTTTTGATCACCACATTGCGAAAGTATTGGTAAGATGTTTTAGTTTTCATTGAAAACTTAACATTTTCGATTTCATAAATTTTTTTTGACATTTTATTAATATTTGATATTTAAATTGACTCCTTATTATTTTCACTATCTTTATGTTATTTTATTATATTCACACCTAAATTAGTATCTTTTTCAGATTTATTATTGGATTTTTGGAATACAATTTATTGAAATATTGGAATACACAGATTCCACACTGTCTTGATTATAATTTAGGTTTATCTATAATTGGTATATCTAAATAACAAAGTTGATATAGCTTAGATTTTTTTTTTTCATTTATCCACTTTATTAAACCCCTAAGTATTGCCAATGAATAAATTATCTGAATAAAATGATATAAATATTATTTATCGAGGATATTATTAAATAATTAATAGTAAAATAAGTTAAAAAATTGAATCACTTAAAAAAAGAGGCAGAAGAATAAGAGTTTGTATATTTCAAAATGTTGAACTCAAATAAAAATATTGCAATCGTTTGTTTTTAGGATAAAATCGAACTTGCTATCTTCAAATTTTTGTATCTTCAAAAGCAGTAATATTATTGTATATATACTTATTGAAACTGTTTCCGAAAACATTATTACCCATAATCATTTGTTTTTCTGTAAAACAAAGTTATATATTTTTTAAACCAGACCAAGGTAACTGACTTCATTTTATGACTTGTATTAATAATTATATATTCACTTTTACTTTAAAAGATAAGCCCAATTTAATTGCTGTTTTTTTTTCTTTTATTCTTATAATATTTCTGTAGAAACATAGCACAAAAAAATTTAATAGTAATAATACGTCATGTTAATAAACAATGACACAGTACGAAATGCACTATAATTATTTTTAATTGTGGGTTTATGGTTGACTGTAGTGAATAATTGAAGAGAAGGATGATCGAGGTGATCAGCCAAATTGAAATGGTAAAAAAAAATAATTTTATCTATTTTTACATTCGCCTACGTTTCGGCCCTAAAGGCCGGTCCACACGCTCCGTTTTGCACAACGTTTTGTCTGCGCAGTTCAAAACGTTGCAGATAAAACGTTGCGTGTGGACTGGAAAACAGTGCAGTTTTGAATCCATTTGGAAGACGGCACAGTCTTAGTAAAACTGAGCCAGACAGCTCAGATTTCCTTGAACTGCGCAGGCAAGTCGGCGCATGTGGACGGTAGCACCGTTTTCTGATCCGTTTTGCTACTCAGTTTCAATCCGTCGGGCGACAATGGCTGACCTTCGGCAATGTTCTAGGGAGTTTTTAACTGATTTTATTGCTTTGTATGAAAGTTTTCCGTGCATTTGGCGTGTAAAATCAAAAGAATACAGTGACAGGGATAAGTAGGCGGAGGCGTATGAAATTTTAGCTAATAAATCTTAAAGTTGCTGTTAGCCTTTCATGTGCTGATATTGCTGTTCTCATACAAGTATTTTCTTTGTTGATATGCGGTGTCACCAATTCCAATAAATAAGTATATGTGTCAATGTCCATTCGCAAGTAGTTCCGCCAATCATTAGGTTCATCGTAATTCACGTAATTCACGCAATAATTTGATATGGGAAAAGTGCTGCCTTTTTAGAAGCCACTTCCGCGACCACTTTGAACGCCAGGTACTTCTGAGATGTTCCAATCTTTTTTTTTAACAATACACATCGCGAAAATCGACCAGAGTAGTACCTCCTCCATGGCGATCTCACACAAAACTGAGCAAAATATACGGATATGTCTGTGCCGTGTGGACGCTCTGCAAATTGCAACGTTTTCATTCCGTCTTAAGACTGCGCAGACAAAACGTTGTGCAAAACGGAGCGTGTGGACCCGCCTTAAGTTCAGGCTTCCATCAGGGCTGACCCTGAAGAGCCAGATAACAATAGGTATACTAACATTGAATAATGCAGAATTAAGATTAAAAAAGATGATAGATATAGACTAATAATTTTTAGTAGAACAACTTACCGTAAAATGAAGTAGATAGAATGAACATTAAATTAAAAACATTAAAATATTTTACTTTAATGTTCATTCTATCTACTTCATTTTACGGTAAGTTGTTCTAATAAAACTTATTAGTCTATACCTATCACCTTTTTACTTTCACTTACTTATATATGAAATATGTAGTAAGTGTAAGTATTGCGATCGTGAAATTTTTCGAATCTCAGTTTTCAACGGAAATGCGTGTTTTGAGGTCCCCAGAGTCCAAATAACCAAGTGTTGCAAAATGGTATGTGTCTGTGTATGTGTGCATGTGTATGTTAACAGTCTAGCTCATAAACGAAAAGTACTTCAAAACTGATATTAAATATTTAAGGTTTGTATATGGGCCGGATGTGACAGCAACTTTTTCGTTAGAATCGGCTAACCGGAAGTGCCACTTTATAGAAACGCTGAAACACATTTTTACAATTTTCTCAAAAACGGCTCTAACGATTTTGATCAAACTCGGTGTATCATTGTATAATTGAGTGGTCTTTAATATCATTTAGGTCTTATCCCCGTTTATGTCACTTTACAGGGCTTAAATGCCCAATGTTCACATGCGTCTTCCTCTAAAGTACATTTAATATGGTTTATTTTAAATAATCAATTATCTCTCATTATTAAAAGTTATGAAAAAATGTTAAATATAACTTTTGAAAGAATTTGATAATTGAATAAAGGAGGAACAAATAAAAATGCTTATCCAGGTCGAAAATGAATCTTTGGAAATAATAGTCCGAAGATATACGTATAATATATCGTTGGAAAGCGGAGAATTTTAGAAAAAACAATATCGAATATAGAAAGTTGTAAAATGGAACAGAGATTGGCAAAAAAAATTTTAAATAATATTTTTTGAAAACTAATAATATTTAACGTAAATCACATGTTTTCAAGAAAATTAAACGAAATTTACTAACTAAACGCAACCTTTTAAAATATCTTTAAGTTTGAAAGAAATATTTAAAATCCACCTAATAAAGGCAATGACATTGTTTAAATAACTATTTCATTGTACTTGTGTAAAAGAAGAAGTAAAATATAAAATCATTTCATGCATATGTTTATAACCTTAAATATATTTACTGTAGTTCAATAATTTTATTACAATCCCTAATCAATTGATCGTGCAATACATGATGAATGGATGGTACAATCCATAAGCAACTGGTGATATAATAAATAGGACTTTAGTTATTTTAATGGTATTTATGATTTGTTATCTGTAATTTTTTAGCTTCAGCTCAGTTAAAAATGCAATTAAAAAATTTTATAATAACCCGATATGGCCAAAAATAATTTCTATTCAAATTTGAGCAGTAAGTGAAAGTTGTGAGTTGCCCTCACCAGATTTTTTAATCTTAATTCTGTATTATTCAATGTTATTATACATATTGTTATCTGTTTCTTTTCCCAGCCCTGTTAAAGGTCTGAACTTCGGGCCAAAACGTCGGCGACTGTAAAAATAGATAAAGTTATTTATTTAATATTTAATAGTTGACCGTTGCATTATAAAGGAAGATGGTCCGGGTTGGCGTCCATAAATAGGCTAAATACAGGCTTATTATAAAATAGTTTTGCCACCCTGCACCATCTCCTCCTTTTAAAATTATTTATTTTTTACCATTTCAATTTGACTGATCACCCAAACCATCCTTCTCTTCTATAATTATTTTTATGTGTACAGTGAATCATGCCAATTTTTATTTATTAACTATGATAAATGCCAAAATTCCATAAATTATTTTTCAGGAGACCTAATTTTGAGATACTCTGGTTTTGCAGCCGATTCTTTTGATTTATTAGTTTCAGTTAAAATAATAAATGCTTGGATTGTGCTGGAATGATCTGTCAATTATCTACCATGTTGTTTCGAAATCGCGGCCGATAGGAACTATTATAAAATTACTTAATAAACAACCTTTTTAATTTAAAAATTGTTATCCATATAATAAAAATTTAAGTTAATTTTTATTAGGTTCAGGATACTTTACCTCATGTATGTTAGGAATTTTATTTTAATGTTTACTTCAGAGGTAATATGGTATTATAATATAAAGACCTGAGCGGAGCAAACCTGTCTTGACAAGAGATATGTTATTGCTTATTCGATGCACATAAAGATCATGGCAGCATATTCTACTTAAAAGGAACATGCATAAATGTATAGACAAGATTGTCGCTTTCCTGGGTGTCAATGTATGAAGAAATATTTGAGGAAGAAACTATTCCATTTCTACCCAATTGAGGGATCCATGTGAAAGTTTAGCAAATCCATTGTATGAAAAATTTTGCTTAAGTAAATATTTTTGTTTTGTTACTTCTTACAAAATAATATTTCCCAAACATGTTATATTCTTAATAAATTTATGAATTATAATTATAATGAATTGACATTTACTATATTATATTAATTTTCATGATAGGATTAGTATTAGTGTATTTCAGTGGGTAAGGCTTACGATTTCTGAACTCTGGGCCAGGATTTAAGTTTGACTATGTCAAATTATTTATTGTTATATTAGCCATCAACCATGGTCACATCCAGCCTCTATAAAGTGATTAGACACATGTCTCGTATCGTAAGCTACAATTGTTATCTAAAATTAAGGAAGTTTTGTTTCAAAGCGATATGTGCTAGCAGGCGATAAGATATAGCAAGAAAAATTTTGTTTGATTGAACATGAGCTCATTGTCGAATTGATGATTGAAGTTGTCATGAGATGATTGTACTTGAGGAGAAGAGGGCAATGGGTGCATCTATAAAATTTGATGAATGCAGAACACAAGTTTGCTTAATTTCAAGATGTCTGCCTAAATTTTCATCCAGTGTATCAGATAACAATGTTTACAGTTTCTGTATCAACTTCTGCTTTATTATCTGTGAAAATAGAAAAATTGCTCATTACTTTGATTAATAAAAGTGATTTATTACAAAATTATTGCAATTTAAATAAACAGATGAGGTAATTAGAATCTAAACTTGCTTAATTACAAGATCGAATGACACAGATGGAAGAAACAAGCAAGCCTTGTCACTTGATAAAAGTATCTTACAATAGATGTCTTAATCGTATGAACTCATTTTATTGTTCCTTATTTATTCAATGTTTCCGAGCAGTGCCTATCTTCTAAAACAGTTGTTGTATATAGCATACGAAATAAGATACATATGTTATACAATTTTTATCTTAACAGAAGCTAGGTTAATATCAAAGTGATATAATGTAGTAAGAGAAGTTTCATGTCATTAATCTTGAGTTTGTTATCGACTGAAGACAAATTTGTTGCGAGTTAATTGTATTTAGAAGAAGAGGAAAGAGAAAGCAGTGAGTGCATCTGAATAAATTTAAATAATAATTTAATGAATGCGAAATATTTACTTTATTGTTACAAGAGATGTGTCACACTGTTCATATAAAGTTCATGAAGTGTATTGTATGACTTCAGAATATTTCAAAATCTGTTTGTATACAAACTAAAAGTTGTGGTTAAAACTAGAGAAGCATAACATTCAGTTCAAACTGGTTATTTCTTGACTGAAACTCTCCAACTGTGTATATTGATAAAAATGTGTTATTTCCATATTTTGTTTATTCTGATTCCATCATATGTATCTAAAATTTTACTTGTGGTTATGATGATTAACCAAATTAGTCCGTGGTACAGACCCCTTTTTATTAAATTATTAACATCGGGTTGAAACTTCATAAATAGCTTCTTCTCATCGTAACCTACAAATATTTTATTTATGAAAATTCTCAGAATTGGAACGTTTTCATTCTATAGATCGTTAAACTACATCTATTTAATTAGGTAATAAAAACTCGTAAATACCCAGTTGCTTGCCACTTGAATCGTAAGATAATTTAAGCTCAAAAACAAGAAAAAAGGTAGCCTTGAAAAATATTAAGTCGTTTGGCATGATCTACACCCCCAAAATGTCAAAATAACAAGGTTAAATAGGCCAAATGGCACAATATTTTTTAAGGCCACCTTTTTTCTTATCTTTATGCTCGAGTTATCTTAAGATTCAATTGGAAAGCAACTGGGCATTTACGAGTTTTTAGTACCTGATTAAATAGACAAAGTTCGCCAACCTCCAGATTGAAGACGCCCCAATTCTGAGAATTTTCGTAAATAAAATATTTGGAGGTTATGGTGAGATGAAGCTATTTACGAAGTTTCAGCCGGATGTTAATAATTTGATAAAAAGGGATCTGTAACACAGACTATATGTTTGATTTGTAGTATATCTTAAGGCTTTCTGTGTCGATTCAGTTTAAACGGTTTTGTATTTATTTCAATAGGGATAACACAATAGCCAATTCAGTTATAACTTAATAGAACGGTTTCAAAAAATGAAAATTTTTTTTAGGTATTTTACAACTGAATAACTTATGTATCAATATGCCAAGTACCTTTATACCTTTGATTTTATTTTTTTCTTCTTTTTTTTCTATTAACTCTCATTATAGTTTTCATAGTATTAATGATGGGTCAAGACGGTGTACATAAAGTGGAGCATTGTAAAATCTTCTTTAATTCATTTTTTTCGTTATTATTTCTTAAATTTGAATATTGCATATCTTTAGAAAATTAAAAATGTTTTCTTTAGGAAGATCATCAGCTGATAAGATATTTAAATGATTCCGACCGTAGCCTGTATGCATTTGAGGTGACTACGTTATTGGATAAAACTGCGTTGGAACCAATCGATGACAGCAAGGTATAGTACATTTTATACGTTCATTTATTTAAATTTCCTCTTTCTGTGTGAACATTAAAAAAAAAAAAGAAATCAACATTAAAAGCAAAAGTAATCAGAAAAAAAAAAAATTGAAAATGTTTGAATATTGTGAAGATAAGAACTATATATTAGGTTGAAGAGTATCTGGTGGACACATGTTGCATTATTTGCCTTGAGGATAAGGATTCAAACATGAAGCAACACGCTGACTGCACCTGCATTCTTTGCGAATCTTGCATTGCTGTAAGTATTAAATATAAAATACTAACAGGAATAAATTAAACTTTTAATTGTTTTTTAAAAATAAAATATTATCTTTTTACCCATTCAGTGCTGTAATCTAAAACATCTATGACTTACTAGGTTTTAGGTTCTTATAAGTCCTCCATGTGTTTGAAATAAGTTTTATTAAAATTTCATTACTAAGTATACATACTAAAATTATTCTTCAAAATATAGATCAGGGACGTAATTATCAAAAAAAAATATATTTCGTCTGCATATTTTCAATCTTTGAAAGAAAGGGAAACAGTATCAAGATTGAATCATAGTTTTATATTTCTAATAGCAATGATTGATATTTTTATATTGCTTACTTAAAAAAAAAATGTACCAATTTATTAACATTCATCAATAAAGAAAATAAACTTATTTTTCGGAACTATAAATAGAAAAATCAATTATATATATTTTAAACAAAAATGGAATATGTGGTAAAAGGGTGAAAATATAGCAATATTGAATGTATCACTCATCATATTGAATGAATGTATCACACATTTATTATTTAAAAGACTTATTTTATATGAAACAGAAAAAAATTAATTAATATCTCAGCCTAAAAAAATTAATAAAATTTGTATTATAAATATTACTATTTATGGTAATACAATGTTTTTTCTTTATTATGATACATTATACATATAAAAGAGTTAAGTATTACTTACAAATCATATTTTATAAAAAATCAAACAATTAAAATAATGCATAATAATTATCAACATCATTATATAATCTTAAATTGTCAATAGAGCACAAAAACAATTAATACATTTTATCTTTTAAATATTAATGTTAAATCTGATTTTAAAATTAAATTAAGAGTTTATTTACGTATATAGAGGAAGCAAGGCCGGAGCAGATTACATGCCGAAATCCAATCTACATTTTCGCTAATATATTCAAAGGACAATATTTGAGATTACTACCTCCCTCTCTGACCCCCACCGAACCTCTGTAATTAGATACGTTAGAGATAAAGAAATAGGGGCTGGGGTAGCTGTGCGGTCTAAGGTGCTTGCAATAGGTTAACCAATTTAAGCAATGAGCGTGGTTAGCACTTGGTTAGGTGACCGTCCACCAGGGAAGGCCACGCTGCCCGAGATCCCTCCCCCTCCGCGAGTATGTGAGACCCGTCAGTCTACAGGAGACAACTCACACTAACCGATCATAGGACTGATGTCTAGGAGATCATATCTCGTGGTCAAAGATCTTAATGGTCTGTAGCGCAACCAAAAAAAAATAACTAAATTCGTACTTTCAAAAAATTGTATATAGGGTACTTAAATAAAAAATGATAAAGTGTCTATTTTCTTAGTGTTACACATTTTGCACTGAAGTCATGGAGTGATTTTTATAATTTTATTGTTAACTGAAATTTCAAATATTTTTCCGAGAGGCGGATCTACATTAATAATTTGCACTTCAATAATTTGGTATATTCAAATTGAATTAATTATAACTTAAATCGATAAAAAAAATTAATTTTCATCACAAAGCTCTTGCTCCCCCAAAAGAGCTTATTACTGTGACATTAAAAAAAAAAAATTAACAAATATTTCTTGTGTATATTATGATATACACACTAAATCTTTTTCTTTTTTTTAATATCGGTTTTGATAGGCAAAATTTAATATAAATATTTTTCCAATATTCATTAATCTGTTCCATCATGTTCAATTACCGTAACACATTATTCTGTCAGAAGTTGAATTTGATGGTGATGCCAATCCCTGATTTTTGAGAAGAAAAACAATCAAACATTTATTTTGTTAAGAACAAGTTTTATACGAGATCTGTTTTTTTTTATCTTATTTGGCATTACAAATTACTTTTTCGTTATCTTATATCAAATTTTTAACCGATAGATATATTTAGAATAGAAGAATATATTTTTTTTTTTTCCTGATAAATAATCTGAGGTACACACCATTTTTTTTTTTTTTAATCTGATGGTTAACAACAATCTAAAGTACTATGAATGAGTTCATCTTATTGTAACCTACAAATTTTACTAATATTATTGTATAACCATTTACGAATATACTCGAAAATGGGGAATTTTCAATCTGGAGATTGGTAAACTTTATCTATTTAATGAGGTACAACAAGGTTTAGTTCTTGAGGAAAAACTCATGAAATTCATTTCCTTTCCACTTTGTAAGATAATTTAATCACGAAATCGAGAAAAAATGTGTCAACCAAAAATATAGGACTGTTAGGCATGACCTTGATCCCTACATGTCAAAACATTGAGTTTTATTGACTAAACAACCTAATATTTATGTAGACCACCTTTTTTCTCGATTTTGTGATCAAATTATCTTATAATTTCAAGAGAAAACAGATGGTTATTCATGCGTTTTTAGTACTTCATTCGTTAAATTAATTAGTCTAATGAAAAAATCCCATTTCTGAGAACAATTGGTAGTGAAAAGTTGTACGTTACGATAAGATAAAGTCATTCATGAAGTTTTAAGTTTCAGGCACTGAATGGGTCAAATTGAAGATTATTGCTTATTGGAGGCTGTTAAATTTGTTTTTGTTTGAATCAAATAATACAAACTTTTTAATTGTTTATTTGTATTAATTAATTCAAATGTTTATATTTTATACAATATATATACAATTATATATACAATATAAACATAAATACGTTTAGCTTACTAATAATAGCCTCATTCATGAGTATTTGTTTTATTATAATTACCTAAGTATTAAAATTTTGTAGTTATTGAACTTACGTTTATTTATACAAAAGTATATAGTTACGTTTGGTTAATGCTTTTGCTTTTATCTTCTTTATCTTTGGATATATTTACTGAAGTTAAGCTATTATATATAATTTAAAGAAGTGTGCTTTTAGATTTTAGATCTTGAAGATTTATTTTTTCATAAATTAGATTTTATTGCATGAGAGTTGATAATAACTGCTCTACAAATATAGCAGCAGAACTTTTTTTTTTTCTATATTTTATTTGATTATTTTCTGGATCAATTAATTAATATATTGTGGGTATTAAGTTAGCTGAAGATAAAAAGATGAAGCTATGTTAAAAAAATACTAGAAAACAGACACAGACAGTCAAAGTTGTTTCTAGATGGACTCTGTCCAAACAGATGTGTAATCAACATGAAAAGGAGCACTTCATGGTTTGTGGCAGGTTGAACTGTCGAATTAATGAACACTTCGCTGTTTTAGTAACGGTGTAGTACCATTCAAAACTGTTTTGGTTTTGAATGCATTATTGTTCCTAAGCTATTTGAATTGATTGATCCTAACTGTGTATACACAAAGCCTATTTTCCTGTTTTAACACAGGCTCAATATAGGTCTCAAAAAGGTGGCAGTGCATTTATGCTAGAAATCAATACACACATATATGTATATATAATCTATTATGAGCTACTAAAACCTGCCATAACTAGTAATATTAAACGCTATTGACAAGAAATGATTAATTTGAATCGAGTCTTGCATAAATAATGTCCATTATATCAAAAAATACAATACAAAGTGTTTTTGCTTTGTGATTATGCTCTACCACACACAGCAAAACTAGTGAAGGGAAAGTTTAGGGTGTTCAATTAGAAAATATTAGAGCGTTCATGCCACTTACTTATCAGTAGAGACCGGATCTTCGTGCAGTGAAAATCCGAAAAAACATGCAGCAAAACTCAAAATGTACAAAATCGTGCTGTAGAAACCCAAAATGTGTAAAATTGTATGATTTGAACCTAAGAACATGCAAAAATCAACAATTTTGTTTAATTTTTATAATTAATACATCGAAATCAATTCTTATATTTAGCTCCTGGATCAAAATATTGTGCCACAAAAAAAAATTGGAAATTAAAATCAATTAATTGCGATTAAGCTAAGTGACAAATTTCAGGAATCTAACTGAATTAATGTTTGCGGAAAATTTGACAAATGTGATTTTATAAATGTCAATTCGGGTTTATTGATGCCGAATTCATGATGGTCTACGATTCACTTTTAAGCTGGAAGGGATACTGAAGAAAGAGTGAGAATTCAATTCAAAACAAGGAAGGCAGTTTTTTTTATTGAATTACTTCAGGCAAGTTCTATTCCACCAATAGTCATTCTGCACTTGCGTTTACTTTGCCGTTTTGTGACATTAAATTCAAATCTTTGCCAGTCACAGAATCATTTACCTTCCTCATATTTTTCTTTCTTAAATTCTAAATTTAATTTGGACAAGATAGTAAAATAAAAAAGTAAATATTTACACACACACACATATATATTTATATCTATATATCATGTTATGAAAAAAATCAAAATCTTGCAATTTAAACTAAAAACGGCAAAACATGCAATATAAAATTTAAGTATGTTATTCTTCAGATCCTGGAACGGATAGACATTCGGGTCCGGGGTTTTTACACACAAGCGATTAAAATGTGCATTCGGTCTCTACTGATCATGCTTGGCTTCACCTGACTACTATTTAAAAAAAATAGATGAATAAAATTTTCTTAGGGCACCTTCTCGTGAGAAGATCCTTGATGAATGCCTGAACATAGGGCCGAATCGTTGGCATAAATAAATAAAATTTATTAATTTTTATGTCATTACTTTTTAACTAAACACCCTTAACCAACTTCTCTTCAATAAATATCAATGGATTGCACACTTACTCAGCAGCTCTTTCCTTTTTTTGAAGAAGCTTTGATATGACTGGTTTGACACATTAAAGCAACAGTTTTTCTGCCATGTCTTGTCATACATAAATTGTCAGAAGAGATGAGTAAAAAAACGTATTGCTAGCGATAGACTATATTTTGAATAAAATATTTTTATACTATAAACGTGTATTCTCTGTTGGGAAATTCCAGTTTCATATTTAAAAACTTGGTATTTCTTATTCGTTGATTGTGTTTTATCATTTAGATATGTGTCTTATTACACTATTGTTAATATCCCTGCCTACTACTGGTACTGAGTGAGGGGAACTAGTCCGGCAAGTGTGCTTATAGTGGTCCTTTTTGCCAACCCCTGACGGCTATCCAATGTCCTCGCCCATCCCGTCCACCCCCTGTCTGTTAGCTTTTTTTAAAAAAAGTTTTTATTTATTCCATGTTTCATTACAATTTTCCCTCGCTTTTATTGCTGAAAGGTATTTTAGTATTAAAAAAAAAGGGAGGGTATTTAATTGTTATTATTGTGAATCTGGGTTCAATTATTATTAAGTTATTTTCTCTATTGCAAACCATTTGTAGAGCAGTGTGTTACTTTAGTATCAATTTGTAATGATATAGCTTTATTCGTAATAATTTGCTGACAAGTGCTATTTAGTTTAGATTTCTTTATTTCCAAATTATTAAATTGATTTAATTTTATGCTTTTGTTTGGATATTTATTTTATATTGTTTATTGTTTATATGCCTGTGTGTATGTGTGTGTGAAGAAAAGGTTTTCTTTTTAGTGATTTGGACAGTGTGTTTAAAAACTTGTCATTTTTCATTACAGGCCTCTTGCACTCACTATGGAGGTTCCACATTTGATTGTCCTGTCTGCAGGAAAGAAATTAATCCAGATGAGCATCTCAAGAACATGAAGCCTCAGTCTAACATGACTGCAAGGTATGTTTCAATATTTATATTTCCATCCTTAAATTTTAATGATTGCTCAAAATTATACATTTAATACATTCGACATTTTTTTTTATTTGAGCGTAACTTTCTTTATGACTTCTAACTAAGGCTGGAAGGTTGATTCTACTCCAATAAGGCTGGGTTTGGAATAATTTGTATTCTGGGTGGTAAAAAAAAAAAAACATTTCAAATTTAAAAAATAAAAGTTATTCTCCATCTCCTAGGATAGTGTAGGTATTCGTTTGAAAGATATTTTAATGTTAAAAAAATGAAAAAGGATCAACTAAATCGGACCAGTAAAGATATGAACAGCATATCATATAGACAGCCACACTGCAAAAGTCTGTAAATGCAATTTCTATGGAAAATGAGGTCATAAGTTCTTCTGGTCAATCTTATCCTGGCACATATTGTGATCCCACAAAATGAAATCTACAATGTTTCATTTCTTCTCTATGGATTTTCGTAAAAACCTGTAATTTCAACACTAGCAAATTGTGATGTAAAAACTGTATGTTACAGTGAAGGTTATAGAGATTGTGTTGGTACCAAAAAAAAAAGTAATGAAAAGCTCAATGAAAAATGGTCTTGTAAATACAGAATGTATAAAGCCTTGTGTGCTAAGACTACAGTATCAATTAGCTCTATTAATAGGCTAAATTTAGTTTTTCCCATACGCTTTGAATTATTTTTTTAAGAATGGCGGACATTTCCAACCCTGCGCCACTGGACAAATGTCTGGGTACCCTGCTTACCATGGAACTAGACAAAGCAAAGAAGAGTAGGTAAGTGGGAAAAAATATTAAAGAGCCTTCAAAACAATCGAAACCTCTTGGACACTGGGAAATGAACTTGACTGGAAAAATTTACAATGCCGCCGAATCCCAGATAGTGAGTGATATATAATTGATTTGGTGAATTCGAAAATTTAACACGAGACGAAAAAAAAACTCTAGTTTCATCTTTTCAAACCAACGAATCTTCGAAATCGCAAGAAGTTCAGAAACGAAGTTATCTACACATCAACTGGTTACCTATAACTTACCAAGCACTTGTGATTTAAACTGTGCCCATATGAAGTTGAGTATGTTAAAAACGAATCTTTCATAGACTATTACAAAATGGGCCACATGCACTCCGTTTGAGCTGCCCCTACAGTGGGAGACAAAAAAGTGAATAAACCGTGTGACCAAATACTCACTTTTCAGGCAAATCTTTTAAAAATTTTCATTTGAAGAGTGTAGTTTCTCTACATTTTTGAAACTGACTTTGTCCCTGTCATGCTTTAATCATCATTAACAAAGTTATGGGTGTTACTACAGTAAATTTGATCTAACTGATAACTGTTTTTTAAAGTAACTAAAAAGCTTTAAGTTAAAAGTAATGGCTCTAAAAGATTATTTGGCAGAAATACTATTAAAAAAGTTACATAGAGCATTAGATCTTTGTCTTAGACCTGCAAAAAAAAAAAAAATTGAACCGAAAATAGAATGCTCATAGAACAAAAATTATGCATTTTTTTCGTCTCCTGAAAATTTTTATTTTTTGTTCTTACAGGCTTTTGTAGTGTGGCTGTCTATATGTAATTTTATCAAACTTTTATCCACATGTGATTCGTTTATTGGTCAATTTATTCTGTTTTTTGATTTATTTAATTTTGAGTCTAAATAATTATTAAAGTACTATTCTCTTTTTTAATCAATAAATGTGTAGAACAAGTTGTTAAATACATTATAGTCATTCTTATCATAAACTTTAAACTCATTAAGATTAAGTAAAATAAAATATGTGCGAGCGAAGACGTGTCCTTGTGCAAAATGCAATCCTTGTAGATTGCTTTTTAATATAATAAGGCATTAACTGTAAATTGAAATTAATGTATCATTAGGCATACTATCGATAGTATACTTTAAAAGTATATTTTTATTAAAATTAACTTTTCCGATCTGTATAACACAACAAAAGGTTTCAGATCCAATCTAGTGTATCATTTTTTCATCATAAGTATTATCAATTGTCTAAAATATGAAAGTTAAGAAGGTTTCTGGCAGGTTATAGTTTTTTTTTCTCCAGAAAAATTAATTTAATAAATGTTCTACTAAATATTATATTTTATTAAATTTATTATTATTTACTTCTATTATTCAGTCTATTTAATATTGTTATTGATTCATCAGTGCTTTCAGGATGATCAATATCCCTCTAGTCTTTCGTGTTGATACTGTGGGAGATGGAAACAACAATCAGAAAAATGTGGAACTGTTTGGTCATCCAATGTTGGTTCGAATTCCTAACCATTGTACATCAGAAGCCTTAAAGGAAGCCATCGCCTCGCTCCTGCCTTATAAAGAACCTTACCGGCTTCTTCTTGTTGATGGACAGGTACGTTATTTAATACAATTTATGTACATTATGTGCGTGGTGCCCATTTTGAATTTGCTTTTCAACTGAAAACATGTTTTAGAAAGATGCCTGTAACTCCAGTAATTTGGAAATATCAAACTATATAAAATAATGATGAGTATTTCTTCTACATTTTTTTAACATCAATACATCACTTAAAAAGAAAGGAAAGTGTTTTTAAAAAATAATGAAAATTTAAATAAAACAAGGCTTTTAGCGCTTTAAAAGTGTGATAATGTAAAAAGACTCAATTTTGATCTTTTTTTTTCTTCTATAGCTCTGTCAGTGTACTACATCCTGATGAAATTCCATTTTGAAAACCTTGGCTTTTTTAAATTATGAATTTTCTAATGTGGCCAAAAGTCGTATCAGTGTACTACATCAAATAAGCACACTTTTAAAGCACCAAAAATCTCATTTTATGTCAGTATTCATGATTTTTTTTTTTAAAGCACTTTCCTTTCTTTGTAAGCGATGTATTGATGGACGAAAAATCAGTATCACTGAATCTCAAAACAATTAGTACAGTAGTCTTGGAGAAAATCTGTGGACAGATTTTTTTTCCGATTTTCGGATTATACGTATCTTGAAATGTAAAGCAAGCCTTGAATTTTTAAGGAGGGCTCTTTTTTTTTTTTTTTTTTTTTATAGTCAATTACAAATCTTAAAAATAAGCCAAAAATTGAAAAGCTTTTATTAATTTTAATTGTTTAAAAAAAAACTACAGCACAAGTTTTATTATCAGGGCCTGCATTGCTCGAGGTGCATGTACCATAGTCATTGCAGAGGTTGCGAACTGCCTGATGATGTTAGCCTGTATACAAGCGACACCATCGCAGTAACTTTCACTGCTCCTGTCAAAGTTTTACCTACCACTTCATCTCTTGCTTCGCTGTCAGCGCAGGCTTCCTCGCTCACACTCTACGATTGTATCCAAGCATTCAGCCAGAGGTATGCAAATCAGAAAAATAATCATTTTTTTTTTACATTTTATCACTTATTATTCTAATGCTAAAGGTTTATTTTCATCTCTATTTTTGTGAAGAGAAATTTGGGTTTGTATTTTCAAATCTTAGTTTCTAAATATAGTATAGTTTTGCTGGTGCTGCCCACTTTCGTGACTATTGAGCATTGCTTTATTGTAATAGAAAAGAGCTTAATTCATTAGCTGTCTACGTATGACATATCTACACTGCTTCTTTCTCATTGCTCCATTAGCAATAAAGCTGTTGGGAGTACGGTGGTTCTACATTATATTATCATATCAGAAAAAAGTTTTGAGGATGACAGTCACGTTATTATGTTTCGCTTCTACCTTTTTTTTTCATAAGTCAAACAAAATTAAATAAAAAATTGTCACCATATTAGTTAAAATTGACTTACCACCATTTTATTATATTAAATATTTTTAGGTATTACCTGTCATTATTATTCACTGCAAATAATACTACATATTTAATTATTATTACATAATTTAATCTGAACATGTTTTGAAAACTAAAACAAAAAAAAATATATTTTACTTATGATTTATTGTATCCATTCTTTTGACTATTTATTTCAGGCTCCCCCTATTTTAATATTTAATAGTATATATTTAAGATTTATAAACTTAAAATCACTATTTTTTTTTTTTTTTAATATTAATAATAATAATCTCAACAACACTTTATGTTAAAACCATTTATTAATTAAATTTTAATTTGCAGTGAAACTCTTGATGGAAACAATCCATGGTTTTGTCCTCAATGCAAACAAAGCAGGTGCGCAACAAAGACATTATCTGTATGGCGATATCCTGATTACTTGATAGTTTATCTGAAGAGGTGAATATAATATTTTTATTTTAGTTTGATTGATTTATTTTTCTGTTACTTTTATAAAAATTAATTTTATTTTTATATTTCAGGTTTGTTTTTCATAACCACATAAGTACAAAACTCGAAGAGAAAGTATTATTCCCATTGACAGGGCTAAGTCTGGCAACAGGATCAGATTATGATCTATACGCTTGCGTATGTCACATAGGAGGTAATTTAAATTTAATACAATTATTGATAAAATTATAGTTTTATTTTATTGTAATACTTCAAAGATTTCATATCGTAAAATAGATAGAAGAAAAAATTAAATTATTTAATAACTAAAGCTGTTTAGTATAACAATGCATGAAAAGTAATATAAATTATATACAGTCGACTCTCGATAATTCAAAATCTAAGGAACTATAAGAAAACTTTGAATTATCAAGAGATAAGAAAAAACATTGAATTAGTAAGAGTTTATAATATGTATGAGCTTACACATACATTTTATATATAAATAGCCTCATGTAAAAAATATTACTAGGGAAATTTTGAATTATTAAGAGGGAATGTGGTGTAGTTCGAATTATAGAATGTTCTCTTCCCCTCTTGTTAAGAAAAGGATTTCGAGTTATCAAGCTATAAAAATACAGCATTTTTTCGATTTATCAAAGTCAACAGCTAAAGAGTTCACATTGTCGAAAAATTAGACTTACCGAGAGTCGACTGTATAAAATTAATCCTATTATAAACTTTTATCTTCTATTTATTTTTATTACTGTGTATTATTAATAACATTTGGAGGGTTTATCTCCTTTGATTCTCAATAAAGTTTATGATGTGTTCAATTTTATATCAAATTAATTAACTATCTTATTATTTCTGACTAACTCAGTTTATTGTTGCTAGGTGTTTCTGCCGGACACTACACAACCTATGCTCAGCATCCATATACTCACCAGTGGCATTATTTTAATGACAGCTTCGTGTCAAAACAGTCTCCGCTTGAAGAAGATTACAGTAATGCTTACATACTTTTCTACAAAAAACAGGGTAAATATCGCTCATGGATCTTCTTATTATTGATTAACATAAGTACTTTCATCATATGTAATGAGTAATCTATTTTAAACCTTAGTGGAATACATAAACTGTTAATTAAGTAATTGAAATGAAAATATTTTTTATTATTCTGAGACTGTCGCCCCTTTAGAATAAGTTATAAATACAGGGTAAATGCCAGTGTGGCCATACATTAAATTACATATTTGCAAAATAATAGCTAATTAGAAATAAAAATATTGAAAGAAAAACAGAGAGAAAAAACCATGCATATATATAAAACAAACTTAGAAAAATAAAATAACCTAAGTAAACAATATAGTTTCTGGGGGTATTTAAAGAGTTCTCTTAGGTACATTTCATGATCAGTCTTATTAGAAAAGGAGCAGGTGCTTAAAGAGGAGAGGTTTGAAAGAGGAATTGTGCTTGTCGAATATCGGGAGAGATAAAATTCCATAGAGAGACAGCTTTAATCAAAAAGAGAAAGGATTTGTCAAATGTAGCAGTTTGGTGAGGAGGAAGACAGAGGTTGGATGGGATTGAGTGGAGTATTTAAATTGTAGGCTCTTAAAAATCAGGAAGGTCGCTGATTTTTAATAACCTAGTATAAAAAGGTAGCAAAGAAGTACTGATGGCGGTAGGATGGATAGAGCCACTTAATCTTGGTGCAATACTGAGTAATATGTGTATCTTTTGAAATCCCAAAATTAAAATGTATTGAGCAATTCTTTAGGTGTTAAAGTTTGGTTTGAATTCTCATGAGTGTTCACCATATACCATACAGTAAGTCTTAATGACAGACAGTAACTATGTTAAGGCTGAAATTGACGCTAGAATAGCTGCAAGAAACTGATGCTACTTTGTCTTTCAGCGGGTACTTAAATTCTGCAGTATGTCAAGGAAGGCATGAGATGTGGTGTACAAGACCATGACATGTTCTGTGGTGTTATGGCAGTGAGGCCATGATGGCTGAACATGAAGAATGCCTGGGTGTCTGGGAAAGAAAGATTCTGTATAAGATATATGCACCTTTTTGTGAGAGAGGAGTTTGGATAGCAAGGCACAATTGGGAGCTAACAACCACACTATATGGAGAGGCTAACATTGTCACCTTTATCAAGGCATCTCGTATAAGATGGTGGGGCCATGTGGAGGGGATGCTGGAGGTAAAGGTGCCAAGTAAACTGCTGTATGGACAAAGAAGGAAGAAGGAAAGGCAGGCCACCACTCCAGTGGATAGATGACGTAAAGGTGGATCTGAGACAATTTATGGAGAACTGCTGCAGAGTGGTGAAGAATCGTGGAGGAGGCCCAGGTCTCACAACCTGAAGAAACCTACCACAAACAGCAATATTTTAATTTTTAAAACCTAATCATGTTATAAGTATCCCATGGATCAATAGCGCTTAAGAGGCTTTCAGCAAGAATCACAGTTTATCTCAAAAAATGGTACATTTTAGGGTTTTCAAATGCAGGGGAGTCTATTATATTTCTTAATGTCTGTCTCAAAATATTTAAAACACAAGTTATGCTGCCTCTATTCGTCAACTTTTGAAACCATCCAAGTTTTGAAATTTCACGATTTTTTCATTGATTTTTTTTTAAGTTGTCGTTTGGATCAAAATTGGACTTTATCATTTCTTTATGAAATCCCCTTTCGTTTTATACTCCTTTCATCAAAATGTATCGCTCCTAAGAACTGGAAAAGAAACTATACTGCCGTATTATCTATAGTGTAGATTGTTTTAAATAAAAATACATTTTACATTTTCCTAATAAACAATTGTTTACACAGTTATTTACAAATTATTAATCTATCTCTTCCCTACTTTGATCACACTTCTTGTAAATGAAGGTGGCAACTCTATTCTTAGCTTACCCAACATTATTTGATCAAAATTTAATGAATTTATTTTAGTTAAAAAATAATATATATCTCATTCCTTTCTTCTTTATTTTATATTTAATATATATTTACATCCTCTTCTTTTTTTCAGGACTTCAGCCACCTCCTATTGACGGTGGAAATGGGATCTTCAGCGAGTTGTAAACAGTTTGGTTATGTCAGTATTTTAGAACTCGAATATCCTCTGAGATATTTAAGTTATAAGCTCTCTCTGTGATCATAGTTAAATACTGAATGTATTTGCTTGTCGGAACAGAATCATGTTTAACATTGTTAAAGGGATAAGTTGATTATCTTTTAAAGAAAATGTTAACCAAACAAAAAACAGAAAAAAAAAAATGGAATCTGTGCGAGTATAACGACTTGTCAAAGGTTTTGCATTTACACTGTAATAAATAACAGTTACTTTTTTTATAGACATTAGACTAGATTTTTTTAATATTATGTACTTACTAGTAACATAGAAAAAAAAATGCCTATATTATTAAAGGTATATATATTTCCTAAGATGTTATTATTCTCTGTTGTTTCTTTCTTAAATATATATATGTTATATATATATTTATGTAAATTAGATTAACTTTGGCATAATATTTAAGTTGTGCTGTAAAAAAAAAAAGCAAAAAAAAGAGAAAAAAATTGTTAATGATGATATTTATTTATATTCATGCCTTTAAATCATACAGAATTGGGAGTTATTTTGATTATCTTTCTCTCAATTTGCAAACAGACTGAAAATCATAAATTTTAGATTTGTCAATAAATCATATCTTTGAAAAGTGATAAGTGAATACATTATTTATTTCCTCCCTTTAAATTTATTTTATTATAATAATTAATAAACTGGGAACTTTCATCTTGTGAAATTTCCAGCGTTTTCCAGATATATTTTTGGTAAAATTACAGTTCATTAAAATAGTCATAATAGGACTAAAAGAGTATTATCTGTAATTCTGACTTTTAACATAGCCAGAATGACCTTTTTTGGAAAAAAAAATATTGAAAAAAGAAAACAAAATGCCTCAATTGGCAATGAATCGGTCGGTTTCTTAATAAATAATTGTTTTTTAAAAATACTTAAACTTTTATAAAATGTAAATAGATAAAAGATTAAAGTTCTATGAGCTTTAGTAACAATATAGATTATAAAAAAAAAAAAAAAAAATGGAGGCACTAATAGGTTTGATGTTTTGTATTTATACTTTTGTCCATATCAACATTATGTAAACGTATTATTTGATTATGATAAATACTACTATATACTACTAATCATAAATTTCATCCTCGCATCTCAGAACTTTTAATATTAGCTAACCTATTTCAATTTTTTTCATTTAAATTCTCTTATTTCACAGAAATATATCGTTCAAATTGAAACACCTTTGAATATAAATTACAGTCATACTTATTCAAGTTATTTTATTTATGTATTTTTAAAAATATCAGTGCTTTGGGTTCATCTTTCATTAAATGTTTTAAGCTGAAATAAAAAAAAAATTCTCCAGTAATAACTTAAAATGTTTCTAATATCATACCATGAGTTTAAAAATAGTCTATAATTCTTTTTAAGATACTTCTTAGTTTCTTAAAAAAAAAAAAGTTGTTTTGATACAAATTTACTACTTGGTGACACTTGTTTTGTTTTTACTTTCACTTACCTATATATGAAATATATAGTAAGGGACAGTATTGCGATCGTTAAAATTTTCGAATCTGAGTTTTTAACGGAAATACATGTTTTGAGGTCTCCTGAGTCTAAATAACCAAGTCTCGCAAAATGGTCTGTGTGTATGTATGTGACCAGTCTAGCTCAAAATGAAAAGTTGTATGAAAGTGAAATTGCGTATTTAAGGTTTGTATATACCCGAGATTTTACAGCGACTTTTTCGTCAATATAGGCTTACTGGAACGATTTTCATTAAACTCGGAATATCAGTGTATTATGAAACAGTTTTTAATATAATGTAGGTTTTATTCTCATTGATGTTCTCTAACAGAGCTTAAATGGCTAATTTTCAATATTAGCTTCCTTTATAGTACCTTTAATTTTTTATTTGAAATAACCATTACACTTTTTTTTTTTTTTCCTCTGGCCTTTTATTACAAGTATTTTACAATCCGTTGGCCTCTCCTAATTAAGAGTAATGGTCTAACTTCCCCAGGGACCAGCCGTAGTGAGAAGTAGGACCAGGATTCGATCCTATGATAATTAATCTTATAAAATTAATCATTGATATAAAAAATAGTTAAATATAAAATAATTTGATAATTAAGGAGAAATAAGAGATCATAACTATTGTTAGAATACAGGAACCAAAGGAATACAAGCGTGCCCAAAAGATCAGAATAGGCTTTCATACGTAACATGAATTTAATATAATATGGACAATATTATGTACCCATACATATGTGGTTTTCATAAATGCTATCATTGGTATTATTTAATATTTAATTGTACAGTTACAGCTATATAAAAATTGAAGTTTGTATTTATGAGGGTTATTAAACAAATAAAAATACCCACAATGAAATTTAAATAAATAGAGTGTCTATAGTTTTTATTTTCACATCCCTTTTGTCTAAAAATATTGATTTTTGCTAAGAAGAGGGTGAAAAAAAAGGGTAAGTGAAAGTTATATGATACATACACCTGATTTTTAGTCTTGCTTGTTCAATACCAATGGTACAGAAGTTTTTTATTTATGTAGAAACTTAAAACAATGTTTGTGACAGCCCTAACATCTACTATTGTTAATCTAATTTTAATGAAATTTTCAGAGATAATGCAAGTTGCTACCTAGGCAGTCCCATATCAGTTTTATTAAATTCGAAAACATCTTTTCCAATTTAGCTTGTTAGGAGGAAATAAATTCACAAATAGTCCAATACCACAATTTTATCAAATCCTATCCACTACATTATTTTTAAATTGAATTAATGTGTTTTTCTAGAGATGAGCAGGTAAAAAACATTTTTTTATATTTTATTAAATAGTTTTAAATATTCATTCTCATTAGAAAGTAGTTCCACATTGGACACATGTGAGAAATAGAAGTCTTCAGGATTGAAATTGTGATGTTTAATATCGGAAGTAGGAGAAGGATTAAGAATGTAGGACAAGAAAAGGTTATTGTATTCAGGACAGCCTTCATAATCTGAACACATAGATTGTATAGGCTGATTCGATTATCAAAAGTTAAGTTTAAAATGATCAAAAAAATTATACAAGATAATGAAAATATATGTATTATCAGCTAATTATAAACACATTACAAACAATTTTTTTTTTTTTTCTGCAAGTGTTCATATGATTTATATCGAGTCTCTGATTTTGTGTTGCTTAAGAAAATGCCTGATCTCACAAATTCTTTAAAGGTACCCGGTTTCAAAGTTATATCCATTTTCCAACTCCAATACCTTTATGGCGTTTCTATGACTTGTCTATAATCTAAAATAAAATGGTTGTGCTTTTGACATTATCAAGTCAACCTTTACTGGCATTAAAATCTGATCTGTTATCCTTCTTACAAAAATTAGTTAAAAACACTTTGCCTTTTCAGGTAGTATATCTGCCTAAATTGAACACCCTCGTGATCTACTGCAAAAACCACATCAAAGAGATTCCTCATCGCCTAGTTTTACCATTTTCCATTTAGAGAATCCACAATAAAATTTCAACACTATCATACGAGGCCAGTCTAGTAATATGTATTGAGAACCTGAGCCATTTCCATTCCATCTCTCGCCAGTCAACTTAAACTTTTTTTCTTTCTAGTTTGGATTATCAAGACTGTTCTGTATTTTATTTTCCACTCTACCCTGCCGTTAAGGCAATATGATACTGGCATATGCTGCAGCGAGAGGATATAAACATTTGCATAACAAATTACTGCTGCAAGTTAACTTTTTTACATTGTTATATAAAAAGGTGTGCAAGCAGTCTAGTTCTATTCATACTTCAGTTTGGTCACTGTCTTCCCACCTTTCTCCAGCAGCCTCCCTGGTACAGTTGCTAGTCTCCTACCCAAAATGAACTGGACTGCACCCACAACTTCTTAAAGTGTAGTTCAGTTCAGTCATCAGCTGAAGGAGCTCGTTCTCCGTCAGAATATAGAGCTCTTTTCCCCTCATCAATTCGGGCCTCAGTGTCTCATATCTCCTGAACCAGGGTCAATTCAAAGGTGATGAAACAGATTAAATAATTTATCTGTCAACAGCCAGATTCGAACCCGAGACCTAGAGCTTTGAGAGTCAGTGTCCAACCCACTGAGCTATCCTGAACCCTAAAGGTATTAAAATAAATTATTAACTTTAATTAAACATTTTGTCTATGTGTTTTTTCATGTTTCTTCATATGTGAATGAGTTATAAACCTCTTATTACACAAGTAACACTGATATGGCTTTTCCCCCGTGTGACTCCTCTTATGAACTTTCAACGTGGACTGTTGAGAAAATGACTTGTCGCACTGATCGCACTTGTAGGGTTTTTCTCCTGAGTGGATACGCTCATGTACAATAAGATTGTTGAGGGCTATAAATCCTTTGCCGCATATGTCGCAGACAAAAGATTTCTCCCCGCTATGTATTTTTTTGTGATTCTTCAAAGACTGTAAACAAGTGACCTCTTTCTCACATAAATCACATTTGTATTTCTTACCCTCGTGGACAGAATCAGCATGTTTTTTCACACCCTTCCATGATTGAAATGTTTTGCCACATAATTCGCACTGATATGTTTTTTTAACGAAATCTGACGAATGAATTTTCAAATGTTGGTTCAAATAAAATTTACTGTGATAAGCCTTTTGACAAATTTTGCACTTGTTAACAACAATTTCGTTACTGTGCTTGACGGATCTGTGCTCTCTATAATAAGACAGGTTATAAAATCCTTTTCCACAATCTTCACATTCAATGAGGTACTGTTGGTTGTGTTTCATTAAATGAATTTTAAAATTACTAGACGAATGACTAGCATAATTGCAATAAGAGCAAACATACTTCTTTAAATGCCTCCTGTTGTGGACTGATAATTGTTTTAAACTTGCAAATTTTTTAGAACAAATTTCACATTGGATATTACCTAAATGTTTCTCTTCGTGTTTCAGTAAATTTTCTGAATTTTGAAATGTTTTTTTACAAACAGGACAAGAATCGATATCAGCGCTTCGTTTCTTCTGGTTATCATCATTCAAAGAGACGTTATTCCTATAAATAAATACAGCAGTAAATATATGACCTATTTATTTATTTAAATTTTGAAACATCTATTTTTCAAAAGAAAGTTTTTATAATTACTATATTCCTTGTTTTATTTAATATAAAATCAAGGTAAGAATTATTTCCAGTTGAGTGAAATGGGAAATGTCAGCTAAACAAACAGATTAATTATAATTTTTAGGTAATAAATGTCTAACAAAAATAACACATATAACATAAAAAAAACCTTAATTACAAAAATTATGCCATCTTATAACCCTATCCCTCCTGAATACTTAATCATATTGGTAGATTGTCAATGAAGTTATGGCTATAAATATTGAAAGCGTAGTAGTTGGGTGCCTTCCATCAAATTGAAAGTCTCTTCTGACCATACATTTTTCTTTCTTTATGTTACATGTCTTTATGACCCATGATAAAAAATTAACTTGAAAAATGCCATCATATTTAGTGGAAATCACATGACTAGTACACCAAATTTACGATATTCATAGACGTCAACTGCACTAATAATCCACCAATGTGCTCCGGGACAGATAATGTTAGTGATGATAAGTTAGCTCATTTTATGTAGATCCAAGTCTTGTAGATTAATCCTAGCAGTTGTTTTTTCATAGTAACCTCTTATTTTATGTGATTAAAGAAAAACACACGATAACGAAAGTTTTAATTATAATTAAACTAATTTTTTTTTTTTTTTAAGGTTACATGGCCTCTTTTATATTTAGTAATATAAAATTGTTGTCTTAAGCAAAGTCATGTAGCAGCTATGTGTCCATCTCTAAGGTACCTGTTGTCTTTGATTTTATTGGAGGCAAGTTCCCAACCAAATTCGAGTCTTATCAAAGTAAATTTCTAATCATTGCAGATGAATTAAAATTAATAATAACCGAAGTTATACTGAACAAAATTATTACAAGTTCGTGTCTCTGTGCCAGTGGGGTTTTTAATTAGCTGTGCTATATTCTTTCTTGTTTCTTCTCTTTGCAGCAGCCCATATTGCCTCTACAATTTGAGAGTATTAAGATCTATTAAATTCTCTGAATGGTTTACTGTTGTGTTGCAGTGCATTTCTAGAATTTTCTGTACACTCCTGTATTATCGATTTCCTTAAATCAGACATAATAGTTATGTCTGGAAGAATTATTTCTTTAATACATTCTAAGAGAGCTGCTGAGGTCCTGTCTTCGACGGCATACAGAAAGCACTCCTTTGTCTTATGACATGCCTCCAAACACTCATTTTAGGAGAAATATACTCCCAACATTGTACTTCTGTTTAGAAAAGCACAAATCCTAAATCTTGAAAGTTGTTCTAGGCTCTTCAATTTTGATTGGATTGTTCTGGATGTCGCTAGCACAAACTTCCCATAGATAATTCTTCCAATCCATCAAAGAATGTTCTGTCATACCTAATTCTTTAGCTCAGCACTCCTTACATCAGAAATAAATAAATAATATAGAAGTTGTTAAATATAATCTTGCATGCTCTAACCATGTATTGGAAAATATTCTCTTCGCTTTTCTATACGAACGTGCGTAACACCACCTATTGTAAGCATCATTTCTTTCTACAAGCTTCATTTGGGGTCCATTATTATTCTTATGGATAATTCCAGCTTTCTGATAAAACTTAAAGGCTTCCCTTGCATAGTTATTCAAACTGGAGTATAATCAACAGGAGTAAATTTTGCTAATTAAATGAATCTGTTAATAAAATAACATTGATTAGAATAAATTGATACTTTTCCTCTTTTAAATAACTGGTGGGACTAATTTGCAAAATACCCAGAATCCTTATCAAAAGTAGTTGTACCCATTGCATATGGGTATACTTTATTTTATAATAAAACAATTCTAATTTTTTAAAAAAAATATATGAAGGTTAGCATAACATGAAACAACATTTTTAGCAAGGAAAAACTAATGACTAAATATTTTAATAAATAATTAGTAAAAATGTTAGTAAAAGAAATTTGGTAAATAAAAAAATAATATAAAGATAAATAACATGAAACTTTATTTGTAAAAATGTACTATAAATGTAGCGTAAAAGAAACAATAATCTATATATTTCAGCAAAAAATATTGAGTATAACATTGATTTATTGCAGAAAATCATTAAATTAAATCACTTGATGATTTTTTCCAGGATAAAATAAGAACCTTGTGCACTTAGCGAAGCCATTTTTCTCATGTCAAAGGGTTTATATAATTTTCATGTTTTTAATTTTTATTTGCATTGATAAATAACATCAAAACTCACAACTACTTACTTTTAGGCTGACCGCCCACCGAAAACGCAGCTGAGCTGAGCTGAGTCAGCTTCCAAAACCGAATCAAAGGTTATAATTTAATGAAAGCCAGCAGAAGCTTTGGCTCGACCGAGATTCAGTTTTGGAAGCTGCCTCAGGTCAGCTCAGCTGCGCTTTCGGTGACCGGTCAGCCTTAGGTTTACGTCCATCAAAAGTGTACTATTTGCAATAACTAAGATCATTGCACTATATTATGACAAAAATAATTAGGACAGATGGTTTATGATGTTTATCCTTAATTATTTTTGCTCATAATTTTCTAGTTTATATCATTAAACTATTATAGAAATAACATTTTTTTATATATGTATATATATAATTTTCACATAGAAACAAAAAAAAAACTTATGAAATTAAAAACAACAATTTTTTCTAGAATATTTATTCTATAATGGTAGTGAAGTAATGTACAACCATAAAATCACTTTTATAAAACATATTTAACATGCTGAAAGAACAGTTTAAATAGAAATTCCTTCAGAAAAGTCTCTAAGTTCACAATTTGAGGCACTGATAATATAATAATATAAAATAAATTAAACATATTATATTATAAATAAATTATACAATATCATACATACACTGCATTGTCCTCAAAAGGAGAGGGATTTGGACAATGATTTAGCACAAGAACACATAGAAGATTGCAAACTAATGGAATAATATATTAGTTATACAATCTAAAAAAATAATAAAGAAATATGTTTTTGAACTGAAATTGTTAAAGGATGATCTCTCAAAAAATAGCATCGTGCACAATTTATGAATGTAAATTGTTCTTTAAAATGAGAAAACTTTTGGCTTCGAATATAACAATAAATTTCTTACATGGAAAATAAATTTGTAACTGATAATTCAGAAAACTTCTCAATGTTTTTTTAATATAAAAAAAATAAAATATTTTTAGATACTATAAGGTAACTTTTGTCACATAAGTACAGCTATATGGCGTGATAAAAATAATACATATATTTACATTACATACATTTTTTTCTTAATATAAATGTTGCTCGGATAATTTCCTCATTGTAATTTGCAAGTATTTTAAGAAATGGATTGATAACAAAACTTGAAACAAATAACTTTTCTACTCCTGAACTAAAAAAATAAATAATAATAATAAAAAGGTAAATTAGAAAATTTGTCTCTCTTCGACATAACAAAATAAAATTCCAATAATGCTCACAGATTTTACTTTTTTACAATTTAACATCAGTCAATTTTAAAAAAGAACGTGTTAATATTTTTATTATTAATAACATTTTACATGTCTCCAATTATCAAAAAAAAATATGCAATAGCGACTGAAAATATGATTCATTCCAGAAATAATGAAGTTTATAATAAATTAAAAACAAAAATTATTTTATTTATTTCAACTTATTTGGCTTTGGATGCGTCTGAACTTGAAAGTCTAATATTGGTTATTTTATATAGAAATTTTATTTTAAATTATGAAATAGTGAAGAATCACTGCAAAGCAGAAACATGGAATGGGAGAGAATGTAATATAATTAAAATAAATAAAGGAGAAAAAAAAATGTAATATAATCCAGTGATAGTAATAATACTATATTATGATATTATAAGGCAGCATTTCTCTCTAAATAAATTTAGTAACAACTTTGCGATAGTTTATGAAGTAAATAAATTTTGAAAATATATACTTTTAACTAAATTTCAAAGTCAATTTAGATCTGGAAATTGTGTGCAGGGGGAAGCGGAGAAGGGGGAATAAATCTGTTTCTTGGACCAATAAATATAATTTAGTTTGTATTGGAGTTTTAAAATTTTTTTTTTTTTTTATACAATTGTACATTGTAAAAATATATGCAAACATTTTAACAGCTTTATCCACATTTTTTTTTTTTATAGAAGGAAAACTTTTTATTTTGTAAATTCTCAATGAATTATTATTTATTTATTATTATCATCACCTATTACAGCTAAAAGACCTGATAAATATCCAAAGCATCTCAATATAAAAATAGGTTTAAATTCACTCACTGAATTATCTAAGTCAATATGGTATAATCATATGGTTTTATTATCTCCTGTAAAATTTCTGTATATGGATTGAGGCGATTTTGAAACTAATTGGATCATATACATCACAGATGGGAGGGCCAGATTACATTTTTAGTACTAGGGCCTGGTGTCAATATTATAACATAAATTTGGACTACCTAATTAAGATTAAAAAAGGTAAATTACATTTGATAAGTAAAAAAAAAGTAAGGGTTGGGCAATTTTTCAGAAACTTTAATGACTAGTTTCCCTTACCTGTACTTCTTATAGATAGGAACTCAATGAAGCACTTTTTTTTTCATATTCTTGTTCATTCAATTATTTATTTTGTAATTGATCAATAGACCTATTACTAAGATTTCATAAATTTTTTATTTAGCAACAAAATATTTCAACAATTTATTTAATATGTAGATAACTTATTTTCTTATTAATCAATAAGTGTTCATGGAACACAGGATGAAATAAATAAAGATTCTGCTTTTAAATAATATAAAATATAAGTAAGAATTTAAAATATATATGCTAATTATCAATTATCATCATCAAGGATCATAATAAATATAATAAGCGAGTGAATCCCAAAGTATTGAAGGAAAGATTAGTAAGTATTAACTTGTGCTGTGTACTGAAAGTTAGCGTGTGGAGTTTATAGAATAGTGGAATGGGCAAAATTTAAAGAAAGAAGAGGAAATAAACTTCAGTTCTAAGTGAAGGCTGGTTAAATGAAAGTTTTGGGGAGACCCAATTAAACCTCGGATATTTATCATAGAATTAGCCAGTAAACCCATCATATACAATACATTTATAATTGATGTGGATGAAAATTATAAATAAAATGGTAGGCTAAAAGATGTTTGACGGAATAAATGACAGGATCACTAAAACAGATGAAGAGAAGCAAAATTTGGGTAATACGGTGCTTCGAACAGGTATTAAATTATGATTAAAAAACAAAAAAATTAGAAAAGAAATAGGTAGTAGAATTATGTACAGGAATGGGCAACTTGAACTTAACACAATAGTCTTTGCTACAGGAATAAATAACAAATGATATTTTATACAAATTGACTATAAGTTAAGTAACTAATAATGATAAACGAATTTATTCAAATTACCATTTAAAAAAGAACATAGACCATAACATTAACATTGGTCTAAAATTTATTTTAAGCTACTTGTCCACCTGAGAGTTTTTCACTCTGGAGAGCTGCATTTGCTAGCTCTAAGATTCCATTAGAAACATGTTGCTCAATCTGAGAGAGTTGTTTCCAAGGTGGCTCACTCTGAGAGAGCTCATCTCGAGGCCGCTCATTCTGAGGGAGTTGTTCTCGAGACGGCTCACTCTGAGGGAGTTTATCTTTAGTTGGTTTACTTGGGGAGAGTTTATCTTTAGGTGGCTTACTTTGAGGGAGTTTTCCTTTAGATGGTTCACTCTTAGCGAATCTATCTTTAGGCTGTTCACTCTGAAGCATTTTTCCTTTAGATGGTTCAACCTTGGCAAGTTTATCTTTATGTCGTTCACTCTGAGAGAGTTTATCTTTAGGTGGTTCACTCGGAGGGAGTTTATCTTTTGATGGTTCACTTTGAGAGAGTTTATCTGTGGGTGATTCACTTTGAGAGAGTTGTTCTTGAGGTTTATCACTTAGAAAATGACTAAAATGACTCTTGATATGATTGGTAAGGAGAGTATTAGTAATAAAGCTGGCACCACACTGCCGACACGAATATGGACGTTCACCTGTGTGAGACCTTTTATGAATCTTGAGAGTAGTGGCCTGAGTGAAGCGCTTCCCACAGTCTAGACATACAAAGGGACGTTCTCCAGTATGAGTACGAAGGTGAGCAGCCATGTATTTAGTGTCTATAAACGCCTTGCCACATACATGACAAACCACATTCTTTTCCCCCAGATGTGTTTTCATATGTTTCTTTAGAGAATATGCACTGTTGACGGTTTTCTTGCACGTGTGACACTCATACTTGATCCCGAGGTGGAGTTTCATATGCCTCCTGCTGGCTGCTTTAGTTTTGAAATCTTTTCCACATGTTTCGCACAAAAAATCTCTTGTTTTTATGTAATGGATAGTTTTGTTGTGTTCGAGTAAATAACATTTACTGGAAAATGTTTTTCTGCACATATGGCAGAAATAAGGGTCAGCTCCATGTTTCCTTATTTGATGCGTACGCAGTTCATCTTTACTGAAAAATCCTTCATCGCAAGAATCACAATAGACTGTATACTCTTTGTTATGCCTCTTCACATGCCTGACCAAATTAGACTTAAAAAAGGTAACGTAACTACATAAATGGCAGCTGAGCTGTTGACCGACTTGGTGGGATTTCTGATGATCTTTCATTTCTGAAGTTGTTAAGAATAGCTTACTACAAAGCTTACAAGGTATGGTTGGCTTGGCGTTGTGCCTTGATTCATGCCTGGCGAGGTACTTGGCTGATGTAAATTTGGCGCCACAATCACAGGCATAAGTACCATGTGCTTCTTTGATATGATTTCTTAATAATGAACCTGTCTTGCATTCCACTTCACATTCCCCACATTTCAGCTCTGACATTTTTTCTCTATTATTATCAACGGATCCTAAAACTTTTTTCCCTTTACGATCTAAAGTTCCTGATTTTTTTTTTCTTAGACGATCCGACACTTTTTTTCTTTTATGATCAAAAAATTCTGACACTTTTCTGTTTCTACGAAGAACAGTTTCCGGCATTTTTTGGTTTTTAGGATCAGCAGTTTCTGACATTTTTTTCTTTTTAGGATCAGCAGTTTCTGACGTTTTTTTCTTTTTAGGATCGACAGTAACAGATGTTTTTTTCCTTTTATTATGAACAGTTCCTTTTAATCTTCCTTCCCTAAAAGGAAATATACAAGTTAACAGGTTTTCTTTTTAATTTTATTCTTTTTTAAAGATATTTTAAAGCAAATTAATAATAAAAGAAAAATATACAACAGTAAAATTTCAATAATCTAGACATTCGATGAACTAAAATTCAGGTTGACTCGATTCCATAAAGAAAACTATGAGAAAAAATAAAATTGATAAAAGGAGAAAAATTTAATTATATCAGTACTCTTCGCTCAAATAGAGATTAAGACTTCATCTTATTCATGGGATTTTCAGTTCTGTTTCCTAAAGATCAATAACTAAAGTAATATCACCCCTCAGTACAATATTCTTAACTTTATAAACTAAAACTATTCATTTAAGCAACATGTGGTTAATTATTTAACTGATATGGTCTGTTCAGAGAACAGCCCTGAATATTTTGAAGATACATCCTTCTTGTGCTAGGGGTATTTAGTATCAATCTGTTTATTTGAAACAGTTTCATTCAGTTAACAAATACAGTAAACTGTTTTACTTGAGAACAAACTGATACAAGAAAATGGAAGGGGCAAAAAATTCATCAGCTCTGAACTCATCGATGGATATATCTAAACTGGACCAAAATGGCCATCGATAAGCTCAACACTGAGTTTAAGAACTTTATAATAAACACTAGCTAATCCTCTATTTACTAAGAGCGTTTGTTTAATTCCCAAGTAGGCATACAGATTTTAGTTTCATTTCAAACATGACAATGGAAACATATGATTTTCGAATGATCAATTTCTATGAGTGTAAAATAATCATTCCACTGCCCAGGAAGCAAGATTGATGAAGCTTTTGGTGAATGGAGTTAAAATGAAAGAACCATTCGTCATTGGTTATCATAAAATTTTCATCAGGAGATACATTAGAGAATCGAGCATCAATCGAGTTTGAAATTGCTAGGAAAGATGAAAAAGTTTGATTCCTGGTTCCCGCACGAACTGAACAAACTTTAGCAGTTGAAATATCAAGAGATTTGTTTCTTTGCTTGCACATCAAAGAAATGAACATGGCAGACTGTGAAATCATAACATTATGATATAACACTTAGTTTAACTATTCTTGATATATAAAAAGAATGTTGTCACTTTGATGGCCTTTATTTTTGCAACGATTAATTAGCTCAAAATTCACAAAAATGTAATTATAAGTTTAGTTTAATAAAGAATTTGATTAGTGACATACAGTAAGAAACTGACGATACACTATGTTAATCTATCTAGGATAGTTATTGTATATTTCTATAGGATCCAGATGGAAACAGATATATTAAAGATATAATATGTATTTAAGATTATTAATAAGATTAGATTCCACACTACATAATATCAAAGCTGTCTCTATGACTAAAGCCCAACACCTTTGTTTGCATGAAAATATTAAAAAATAAATTTTAAATCTCATATAAGCAACCTATGCTAATATGAAATTTTTGAAGTCCCCATATCTGTGACAGGTGATGGTAAGGCCCGCTTTAACTCATTGTGCTGAAACCTATACCCTTACTCTTGCAATGATGAAGAAACTCAATATATTTGAACAAAATAGTACGGCCTCGGTAAAACCTCAGGACATACCCATAAAATGAAATATACTTTATAAATGTTATGTAATTTTTCAACCAATTAAAAGGCAATTTTAAAATTCACAATATTAAAAATAACAAATATTCTAATATGCCTAAAAATGAATAAAATTCTGATAAAACTGTCATTATTAAAATGTTTTAGTAAGTTTCTATTCTTTCACCATCTCTACTCTTAACTGTGTCATCCTACCATTCAAGATATCTAATTGGTTTTTAGTAAAACTTTCTATAGTTTCCCTAAGCAAAGGTTGCTCATACAAAGAGATTTTACCCTGTGTTAATATTTTTTTTAACTATCACTATTGGAAATATAACTTTATTTAAATTTGATAAATTAAAACAATATATATATATATATATATATTTTTTTCGGTTGCAGCTACAAACCATTGACTTCGAGTGTGATCTCCTAGACCTATCCTATGCCTGGTTGGTGTGAGTTGCCTCCAATAAGGCCTCACATACCCTGTGGTGGAAGGGGGGGGGGGAGGAATCTAGGGCAGCGTGGCTTTCCTTGGTGGATGGTCACCCATCCAAGTGCTCGGCGTTGCTTAACTTTGATTACCTATTGCAAGCTCCTTAGCCCGAAAGGCTACCCCAACCTCCCAAAACAAAATATATATAATAAAAATAAATTCAACAGAGATATTTTTATTTCATTTTTGTTTGAAAAAAAGTAATATAAAAGTGATTTATTTTAAAAATGCTGACCTTAAGAAATGGAGAATTTGGAAATCATTTAAATTGCTGATTTTTTTCATGTTTTCATTATTAAATATTTTATAATTTTTTTTTTAAATTTAGTAAGAAAGAAGTCCCTAAATATAAGTTAGTTAGTCCATGAATTTCTTTTTGAACTTTTTTTTTTGTATACTCCATTACAATCGTCGACATTTTATGTCATTCATGAGGCTTAATGTTTTAATCAACATAGGCACTATGTTACAGGAACCTAGTTTAAGAAATTATGTTTTAGGGGTTACGAAACGGACATAAAAAGTACCCCAACCTCCTACTAAGTCCCTCAATTACATGCAAAAGCATACTATTTTCAGATTAAATTAACTAAAAATAGTTATATCACTATACTTGCTAAAATCTATAAATCTATCAATACTTCCATTTTACTCTTAATTTTTAGAATCATAAAAAATTAATCCTCTTGCTCACATATAAACTAATCAGCAGCCATATTACAATCACAGCATGATTACTAAGCATGTAAACATTTTTCTTTTTTATGGCACAAATATCACAATTTTTATATACTAGGCAGTATGGCTCTTCTGGTGGACTTTCAAAATGGTCTTAGTGATGAAAGCCTTGTAGCAAACTTGGCACTGAAAAGGCCTCTCACCAGAATGGTACCTGTTGTGGACAATTAGTGTCGACTGTTGCGAGAAAGACTTATCACAAACTTTGCACTTGAATGGCTTTGCACCAGTATGCATCCTCTTATGGATGACCATATATTTCTTAGACGTAAACGATTTGCCACAAACAGTACAAGAAAAAGGCCGCTCCCCTGTGTGTGTCAAGCTGTGAGAACGGAGAGCAATAGGACTGCATAAAACTTGCCCGCACACCTCACAAACAACCCTGTTCACTCCTGTATGAACATCCATATGACGTTTTAGATAGGACCTTTTATTGAATTTTTTACTACATTTATCGCACTGAAAAGTCTCTAAAGGCTTGAAAGACTCAGTGTGCTTTCTTCTATGCGAAACGAGGCTATGCCTATAGACAAACGTTTTCTGACACTCATCACACTGGAATCTATTTTTTTCCTCGTGCAAAGCCTTGTGCATTAAAATTTCATGCTGATAGTAAAAACCTTTATGGCACACATCGCAAAATATTTTGTAATCCTTTTTATGTCTTTTGATATGGATGTCGAGCTGGCTTTTATATCTTGCAGTAAACTGGCACAGATTGCATTCGAGATTTTTTTTATTATATTCTTTATTCACCACTTCCTTATTAATCGCTTCTGCAGCTTTCAATTGCACTTCAGGACATAAATCCACTAAGTGATTTTGTTCGGAATGTTGATCAGATGGACTGATATCTGTTTCAGATTTTTTTTTATAATCTGTTTGCCCTTCTGAGTCCCCAAATTTATGCTGCTTAAATCGTGCCTTCAACCTGAAAAGATAATTCAGGCTTAAGGGAAATAAAATACATAAATATTCTTATGATGATAAGCCCTTCACAGTATGTTTTTATGTTAAAACATCTATAAAAAATAAATTTCTAATACATTTTTATGTTACATAGAGCCAAACTTTTTTAATGTTTATGCATACACAGCTAACTGATAATATTTCTCTTCATGTTTATGACAATTTTAATAACAAAATAATAGACTGAGGCCATTATATCATTATAGAAGTTAAGACAGAAGGTGAAGATGAGAAATAAGAAAAGCAATATTTACAACCATTAAATCATTATTAAAAAAACAAAAAAAAAAAAAAAAAAAAAAACATAATTCCAAGGAAACACAAAATTGGTGGAGGAGCAAATTCTCCAGTTTGCTTAAAATAAATTCATTTTATCCAATTGTAAAAATGTTTTTCTTATAATATATATATTTTTATATACGTAAGTGAACAAAAAACATATGGAATACATTTTTAATTTAATGAACATTGGATATAAATTTTTGATATTCCAATATCCAATTGTTTTAAAATTTATTTATTTTTTTGTGATGTAGTTTCTGAATTTTCCCTACCAAATTATTTCCATTAATTTGTCGAATATATGGTTGTTCTACTTTTTTTCATTCATTCTTTTCATGTGCCCAAAATATTTTGCTGTTTCCAAGTATTTAGTTCCTTCATATGGTTCTCTGTTGTTTTTTTAGGCCATTACTCTACTCCTACTTTTGATGGTCTATGGGTATGTCTTAGGATTTTTCTTTATATTTTTAATAGTTTATCAAAACTAGTAAACTCCATTGTTCCCAACCCATATAGTATCACCATTCTCATCACTGTTTCATAGTGTCTGATTTTTCATTTTTTCAAGATTCTTTTTATTATAGACATCTTTTGTCAAATGTCTCAGTATCTCCAATTTTCCTTCGTTACTTTTAGTCGCCTGAGTGTTCCCTCCAGTTTAATTCAACATTTCATCCAGGTACTTAAACTGCTTGACCATTTCGATCCTCCCATATTTTGTCTTAATTTTCCCTTTTGTTTTCCTGTTATTGTTCATAATTTATGTCATTTCAATTTATTAGAAAGATATTCTCAGACTCGCTTTTTTCCCTAACTCTTTCTTTAATTCCTCAATTGCTCCTTGCTTGCTTTCAGCCAGTAGAGCTAAGTCATCCGGGAATGCTAAACAATTTGCTTCTACTTGATCCTTTTCCATACCTAATTTTATCTGGTATTGATTCTTTTCCAAAATTTTGTATTAATCTAGATTGTGATAATGAGATTACCTTATTCTGAATAAAATAGCAAAACCAATGTCTAGAATAATATATTATATTTGATCAAAAGTATGGAATGGACAACTCTCAAATGATTAATGAAGTGTCTAGATAAAACAGATTGGTAAATATACAAAAAGTAAAAATATCAAGTGCCATTAATGGACATGGAAGTAACATTGTCTCAACAAAAGTAAGTATTTGTAGATTCTTTAAGTACTACAAAACAAGGTAGAAAAGATACAAAATGAAATGAAGTAGAAAATTATGGGAGTACCACGATAAATTAGAAAATAAAAATATACCTACAATTATTAAGGCATGTTTTTAGGAAGATTAATAATTATATTATCCTAAATAAAAAATCTATTGGAAGCTACCACCATAAAAACGTAACATAGAGGATACAGTAGAAAATATATTAAGACCAAGACAGGTGAAAGAAAATAAACGCCTCAACCGGATGTATGGAATTTTTTTTTTTCTCCTCTAATAAATGAGAAGAAAAAAAAATTTGACATATTTAAATTAATTTTTTAAAAATATTTCTTTAATATTTCCATAAAAACAAAGCCCTTTTAACACCTCCCTAATTTCTAACAGTTAAGTTCACTAGTTTGTTCAATAGATGGTTTTGGATGATCTTATCATTTCCAGAGAATGCATAATAAATATGCATTTTATATTTTTATTTTGCAAAAATTATATTTATAAAACCACCACATTTCAAGGAAGAAAATAGATCCAAAATTGTAATAACATTTTATGAATCAAGTTCAGAAACATAATTATTCTCTGTTTAATGGAGTAAAATATCTAATCAAGAATAATAGATTAAAGTTTGTGTAAACATTTTTTTTAAATTAGCAGAAGATGAAACACTCAATCGACTAAATTAATTATATTGAAAATTATTATTATTTTTTTTACTATTAAACTGAGAATACTTTATATAATATTTACTAAGATATTAAAAAAATACCTGAATTTTAAACTTAAATTGGAAAAGTCTAGGACAATCAAAAGAAAGCCATATACGAGAGAGTTTATTGTAATTATTTTTGTTAAATTCTAATAGTAAACAACCAATTAAGGAAAGATTAAGGGATAAACTTAAAATAATAAATGATTTACTCAAATAAAATACAACCAGCTCTTGAAAAACAGGTATATATAACCACATTAGTCAACTGTTGGAGATATGTAATTTTTTATGAGCATTAAGAGATGATTTTTGAGTAAACTTTTTACCACACTCATCACATTCATACTTTTTCTCACCAGTATGAACAACCTCATGCAGCTTCATACTCTTTCGCCCACTAAAACATTTTCCGCAGAGCCTACACACATAAGGTTTTTCGCCACTGTGAATTCGCAGATGCTCTGCTAAGCACGATTTGTCACCAATAAGTTTTCCACAAATGTCACATTCGAATTTCTTATTAGTATGTACACGCCGAACATGATTCTTGTAAGCACGTTTGTCTGAACAAATTCTAGAACATTTTTCACATTGAACAGGTACGGGTGAATTCAAAGTTGTATTGTGCACAATAGTCTTGTGTTTACGAAGGTGATATTTGTTAGAAAACTTTTGATCACATTCACTACAAGAAAAAGGTGTTTCTCCAGTATGTCCAGACACATGTTCCTTCAAGTCTGAAACACTGTAGAAGCCCTTTCCGCAAATTTCGCATATGACAGAATAATGTTTCAGGTGTCTTTTACGATGCGTCAACAATGTTGCTTTGTATATACAGGAATAATCACACAAATCACAATAATATGGTTTCTCTCCAGTATGGATCTTAATATGGTTGCTAAGGTGGATGGCAGCTTTGAATGAACTTGAACAATAATCGCAAGCATAAGGCCTATCACTGCTATGGACTTTACTGTGGGACGAAAGCATGCCCTTGGAAGCAAACGACCAATCACAACCTGGTTCACTACATTTGAATGGCCTTTCGCCAGTGTGTTTTCTTCTATGAAGTTCAAGTTTGAACTTGGTAAAAGACTGGCCACAAAATTCACAAGTACTCAGAGCTTTATTAGGGACTATTTTTTTTCCATCAGGCCATTCTTCATTTCCTGATAATCTGTAAAGAAAATGTAACTCATTCCAACTTTACATTTCTTGGAAAAACTATAATCTTTTTAAAAGTATAGTATAAACTATAATCACAATGTTTAAAATGATAGTTCTGAAATAAAGTGAATAAATTTTTGCGATAAGAAGAATCAACAATTAAAAATGATTAATTAAGGAGATGATTGAGACATGATCATGCTTGCCAGGTTTTTCTCAATCAAGGATACCTATTGGTTATAACTACTCAATTAAGTTATTATAAAATAAGGCTCCGTTTATTTTTTCAAAAATAATCAATTTTCATAGCTACGTTTCGACCTGTAAGCCATCTTCAAGCCATTTTATTCAACCATGCTTTTTGCATGTAGTCTAAAGTCTAATTATGATCTTATTATTATTGGACTTTGGAGCGGCCGAAACGTAGCTACGAAAATTAAAATAAATATAGTGAAAAAATAAACAGAACCTTATTTTATAATATTAGAAAATTTTCACCTCAAACAAGCACATATGGATTACTCAATTAAGTTTGTCCTAGGTGGGTCTCCCAATCCCAGGGTCAATTAATGGCTGATGTAACTAATTACTTACCACAACCAGACTCAAATTTGAGACCGGGAAAATGGGAGCACGGTGGCTTACTGAACTATACTGCTCTCTATATTGAGAGAAAACTTTTATTTGAATTTCTAGGAATCATTTTTTTTCAAAAAGCACTGTAAAATATCGGTGTTTTAGAAAATGGGCTTTGACTCAAAGTAATAATTGGAGGTCATGATCAACCCTATTAATCCACAAAAACAGAATGTGATATAACAAATATCTAGCAGGAATTTATTTATTCTTGAATCTTCAACAATTAGAAGGAGAAAATCATAGAAATCATTGTATCTCAGAATATTTCTCCAAGAACTAACAATCCATTTAATAAAACTCTAGTGGTTGAAATATTAGCATTTATTTAAATATAAATTATTGTTTTTAAATAATCAATTTATCTGGAATTTATAATAAAAAAAAAATTCAGATAATGAAATTATTTTAAGGCAGTATTTCACAAAACGCCACATAAAGATGATTGCCATTAATGATTTAACCACTCTACCAACATATATGCCGGCAGTGATATTCCTATTTCTAAAACTCTGTTCACATGGGCTAGGTTTTATCCCCTCCTAAAACCAATGTCTGAAAGACCAGCCGTGGGATAAGAGGTCTAGCCTACAGCATGTATCGTTTGCTACTAGATTCTTACTTTTTTTTTATCCCTTTACTCGCCTTTTAAGCTCTATGGTTTTTCATGGGCCAGGAGAGAGGGCAGGGAATTATGCCAGATTTAAAAGACCTTTGGGCACTGGGATTCAAACTCATAAACTATAATTTATCAAGATTGCAGAGCAACATATCTTTTGTACACATGTTAACCCACTCGGCCATCCCATCCCCTATACTACTAGATTTTTAGTTATGAAATCTCTTGCTAGGTAGCATTTGAATAAATTGTTTCGTCTCTATTCTGTATTTTTCCAGCAAGTGACTCAGTGGAACATCCATATAGCGCTATATTGTCTTTTACCTTGTCAATACCTTTCCCAAATTTTGATTAGCATAAAATAATTAGTTTGCAATTCAGGTCTGAACTTAATTTTCATGCAAAAATTAAAAATAATATAAATAGTTTTCAATTCTAGAGGTGTGTCTAAGCCCTGCATCAATACAGAAGGAGGGAAACTATTAAAATAAAAAAATAAACAATGCTAAGAGCAAGAAGAAAAGGTTGATGAAAGCAGCTCCTAATATCTGAGGTGTTAAGACAGATAAATATTACATGGGGTGTTAACCACTCCGTATAAATCTGAGACTATTCGCTAATTTTCTCTGAATCACAGTAACTTATGGGTGATTGGTCTAGCAAGAAAGGCCCAGCATCTTCGGAACAGCTGGTGGTTAGGCTTTACCTTCCCAAGGAAGGTGGCTCTGAAGCGAGTACTGTATATGACCATGTGTAAGAGTAAGTATTCTGCCTAAATGCTCCCTATGCAAATCATGCCATCAGCAGCTACAGGTTTAATGACCATTTTGGAGGTGGGAGGTTTTCTGATCACATGATGATCGATCCACTGATGATGTAATAGAATAAATAATTATCTGTCACTCACAGATTCAAACCTAGGCTTGAGAATAACCTTAATCATAGAGCTACCTCACTTGCTTAATAGTATCACTACAACCCATGAATGCTCTTGGGTGTACAACTTTGTAAAGCAGTACCAAGTACCAGTATGCCAAGCATTGTGCAAGGAGATGAATTGACCAAGATTATGTTTAACTGCCACGATTCTTCCTCAATTAATGGTTACTCACTGTGTTAATGTATATTAGAGAATCTAAATAGCCATATAAATGTATTTATACATCATAAATAAAACAATTAGAGATGTAAAAAATAAATTAACTAAGAAATTTACAAATTTATTTTAATCAACAATTTTAAAACATAAAACAACTTACTCTGGGGGTGACTTTTTATTGCATTCCTGGATGCCCGAAGGTCCTGGAACTTCCCTTTCTCTTGAAATAACAGAAGCCGGAGTTTGACCTTCGGAAGCCAAAGATTTATAGAATCTAATGAGTTCTTGAGTAACATTTTCCTCATCGTATCTACTGTCAGAATGTCCTCTACTATTATTTTCAACTTCAGATTTATCACACTCATTAGTTTTATTAAGTTCAGTGTTATCCTTCTCTTTTATTCCTTTGGATATATCCTAAAAATAATATTAATTGATAAATTGAATAGTAAGTTATAGTAAAAATTACAGGCTCACTTTCTGTAACAAACTAAAATTCCATTAGAATAACCAATATCAGTATCAGGACACAATGAGATTTATAGCTAATATAAAACTAGCCATGCCTCAATACCATTAAATTATTAAGTATTTTAAAAAAATCAATCATAATTAAAAACAAAAAAAAAGGAACAACTTGAACTAGAAAACAAATTCTGCCATTCGACTTTAAAATTATAACATTAATAAATAAAATGAGATACCTTAATATAACAGCACCAATTCAAAGTTTATGATTTTTGGTCTGTTGTAGATTTGTTCAAATTCTATAAACTTAGTTTCATGAACCATCAAAACGTGTTCATAAATTTATCACCAAGAAAGTGATAAATTTGTAATTTGAGCGCTTTCACCTTTTTTTGATATGATATTGTTTCGATTAAGTTGTTCAATGTGTAATTAATCCAAAAACATTCAAGATATGGATTTACATTATGTAAATATGTAAATACAAAATTAAGAAAGCCATGATAGAAAATATTAATATTAATATAGTTTGATCATTCTCAAGTCAAGATTACCATTTTGAATAAGGCTTGTGAAGGTTGATTGGTAAAACTGATATAGGTGAAATGTCTGGATGACAGGGCTATGATAACATCAATCTTACTGTGAATGAATGCGGAAGCTAGCTATTCTGAAGGTTACATTTCCAACAAAAACTAAAAACCTTAATCTTCCTTAAACTGCCTATCCTAAAACACCTGACCTTTCTTAACTATATAAACTGAATACATCGTCATTCCACATATTGTACATTACTATAAAAATCAATACTGTTTGAACTTATTCTGCTAAATAATCTGAAAAACTATATAGGATCATACTTGTAAAATTGAGCTTATTTCAATTTCAGCTTGTATTTATTGGTTGTGTCTAAATAATTTTGGGCTCACTTGCCAAGTTTAATATTTCTGTGTACATCATCTAAGAGTTCTTGGCCCATCAGCCAACCAAATGTGATATAATAGTTATATTAGTTATAATTTTTTGAACATTTCTCAACCTTCACAAAAGAATGAATATATTGATAATCTGTAGAACAAACTAATCTTTCTACCCTAGTCCAAGAACAGAAAATAAGACAAATAGATATTGAAACAGTAAATCATGAAGAATATCATATCAAAATTCTGCTCAAAAGGACATTTCATCATTCTGATAATACTTTTATTACCAAACTGTCAAAAAAATTCAATTAATGGAAATTAATCGATACACACTTGAAGGCATACCTTACTATTTAGGGCAGCATTTTCACTTTCAATTGTTTTTTGTTTTTCTCCACTAGCCCATCTTTGTAAAACTTTCTGACACTCTAATGTTGAATTCCGGAATTCGAAAAATGAATCCACTTTCGTTAAGCAATGATTGCATATCTTTTGTGACACTTCATCTTCATTTTTTATCTAAAAGAACCAAATTAAATACAGGGATAAAAATATTTTAACATACAGACAAATGCTTGTGAATGATAATAAATTATTTACCTCAACTGTGAGACAAACACTTATTTTATCACATAGTTGATTACCTATTACATTATTGTTTAAAACCGGTATTAAATTATTATCTTTACCGAGACATAAACGACACAAATCCAAAATATTTAGATTGGAGCTGCTAAGAGGCATTTTACAACCACACATTACAAAAATGACAATAGCATACTAAAATAAATCAAACTAAACAGAAATAACTTATTTGAAATCTTAGTTGTTTCAACCAATGGTAAACAAATATGGCGTTTACGAACGAGGCCAGGGTTGTGTAGATCACGAGCGAGCTAGTTCAAAAGAACAATTTAATAAAAGATACCAAAGAGAAAGATAAACGATTTAAATATTAGATAATTCGATAATTATGTGCGGGGAAAGGGGAGTATGGTTCAGAAAGATCTACCGGGAGGGAGGGAGAAGCTTTCGGACTAAAGTCCTTCCCAAAATGGAAAAACGATTTTTATTTTTTCACTGGTCCATATTTGGGTAATTATTTATTTGTTATTGTGATAGTTAAATTAAATAGTTAAAAACAATCACAATATGTATATTTAAAAAAAATGATAATAAATATTCAGCTACTACATTTCTTATGAAAAAATATTGAAAAATTACCTCTACAGGTGTTATTGTTCATGTAATTATATACTTTATTTACCAAGTAATGTATTTACTTCCTTTGATTTTTAATTGGGGTTTAAAAATTACTTCATTTTGAGGTAACTTCAACATCATTTCACACAGATACATATTTTTTTCCTTAATTATTACATACACACACACACACACACACAAACATAAATATATAACAACTTTCGGGTTGAAGTCCTCTAACCCCAAAATTAGATTCCGAATCCGTTAATGTTGTACGTTTTGTTTCTGATCCCAATTTAAAAAAAAAATCTCTGAATATTATACCTGCTGTACTAACTGATGCAATAATTTCAGTTTTTTACAAGTATGTAAGCACTTGGATGACGGGATGGCCGAGCACATTTGGGCGTGGGTCCCAGAGTGCCCGGTTTTGAATATTGTGGGTTCGATTCCCACCTGGGTCGGTTACTTTTCATTTCTCGACAGCCCTTGAAATTGATCGTGACATTCCCACTTTGGTAAGTACGCGGCGGCAACCTCAAGGTAGCCGTCAGGGATTGGCAAAAAGGACGACGATAGGCCCATTTGTCGGACTAATTCTCCCCTCGAGTATCATTACTAGATCCAGTGTGTAAATACCTTCCAATATTTGGTGATGCCCCAATAAGAATTATTGTCTGTAACTTCAACTTTACAGGACAAGTTTATGAAACCGCACCTATCACGTGTCACTAGTAGGATATGGTGGAGTGGACGAGTAGAGTCCAAACGAATAATAAATTGACTGGACTAAAAGAGCTGCCCCAACAACTGCAGATGGATGATTGTCTCTTCTGCAGCCGACGGATGCTACTGATCTCCACTCATACCTTCCTTAAAAGATTCTTACACAGGAGTAAGAATTTTGCTGTAAAACGTTAATAAACTTAATTTATCGACTTTTCATGGTCAATATATTGACGAAATTTGATATTGACTCAATAATATTGGTCCTGTAAGAGCCCTTTAATGAAAAGAATGGTTGGGGGTCTGTCTGTGTCATTCTTCTTGTTAGGGACTCATATTAAACTTTTTTCATAGGTGTGATAGTTGTTTTAAATTATTCTAAAACAATATACATCTGTATCCAACTAAATGAATTGGGTACTCATTTTTTCACTTTGAAAAATCTGTCTAAATATGCAAATAATTTCAATATTAATTTATAGGTTAAAGTTTGGCAGAAATGTTATGCTCAAGAAGGGAAATGCTTCCCTCTAACAATTTCATACGGCTACATTGTCAAATTTACAGTAATGATATATATACTTTTTGATTTTTTCTTTTACATTATTTAAATCTCATTCAGGAAATCATTAATTGATTGTTATTTTAGTTATAAGAGGTTATTATGAGGAGTGTGGTAGCTAAATCATTCTTCCTTTAGTTTCTCAGGATTGATGATGTTTTCCTTCACTAGAAATGTGATTAGAGATCCCTGATAGCTATAAGTAGTTCTTTTTGAATTAATTTAGTTTATTAATGATTCAATATCCAAAAGAACTGTTCAGAGAAAAGAAAGATTAATCCTATGTCTGAGAACTTGTTCCATGAAAAGAGAACCAAATTTTTTGTTAACAATTGCATAATGTTAGTTTCTTCTATATCTTGTTGAAAAGTTTGACTATAAAAGAATTTCATAGCTTTAGAAACAATACAAATTAACAAAAAATGAGAATGTCTGAGGATAATCTGTTGTTAAACAGATTATCCTCAGACATTCTCATGTTTCATTCTGGTACACCGAGTTGAAGTGGCTTTATCCTACTTCCCGACGACAATTCCTCCTTGGTGTTTTCTTTTCCAAGTACTTAGAACCACTAGCGGATCCAGGATTCAATTTTGGGGGGGGGGCTTCAGCCCGAAAGCTTTTTTTTTTCATAAAAATGGCGATAATTACCTTGGAAAAAAAGAAAGAAACTAGCTATCTATATGAAATGGTGTTTAAGTGATTCCTTAAGTCCTTTTAAATGTAATTACACCAATAATAATACTTTAAGAGATAATTTTTTAATATATTTTCCCATAAAACATAGTTATATTTTACCATTTTGGGGGAGGGAGGGCTTCAGCCCGAAAGCTCCCCCCGTAGATCCGCCCGTGCTTAGAACCAAAAGCCCTCCCTACATCCTGAAACTCCTTAGTCTACGTTCCTCTATCCACCCTTTAATACGAGCTCTCAACGTATAGATTTATATACTCCCTCATATAAAACTACTTCCTTCTTCATTCGTGCTACCTCATATTGGAACTCTCACCCTATCTCCATACTTCAATCCTCCTCCACGAATTACTTTTCTCTTCCACAAACAACTCCTGTTCTACCACCTACTCCACATTCAAACTTCCACAAACATGTTTATTCAACCATCTGCTCAATTGCAATAACACTCGACAGTTAATTAGTTTGTATTTTGTCATCTTCTAAGCTAGAATAAGACCCATAAATTAATGTAACACTGTTGTTATTCTTAGGGGGCTGTAGTCCCAGAATAAAATTATTTTTTCATTCATTCAATCATTCCATTTCATTTCATTTATTTATTCATTCATCATTATTTTAGGAAACAACTAAAGGAAACCTTTGGTGGAGAGGATGCACAGGATTCGGCACTACACACTAGTGGATCCTGGATTTAATTTTTTTTTTTTTGGAGGAGGCCTTAGTAAGAAAGCTTTATATAAAAAAACGATAAATACTTTGGAAGAAAAATAAACTAACAGCCTATATGAAATGTTATTTAAGTGATTCTTGGTGTCCTTTCTAATGTAATTACATGAACAATAATACTTTTACACACAATTTTTTAATTTTTTTTTTCAAAAGAAATGGTTATATTTTACCCTTTTTGGGGGTGGGAGAAGGGGAGAGATAGGAAAAGGCCCCTCCTCCCCGTAGATCCGACTGCAGTCATAAGTCTATATCATTTCACTCTTCTGAATTTTTACCAACAGCTGTATCTTCTAGAATAAATATATAAGAACCCTCAATTATTTGAAAATATGATTTGACTGCCATAGAAATATTTGATGATAACTTATTCCCAATAGTAAAATTAATAGAAACAGTAGTCTTGAGCATCATTTACAAAATTGTTAAATTTTAAAATTATTTTTATTGAATATCGAACCTCCAGATAGTGTTATTATTTGAGATTCTGTCAAATAATACTCTATTTAATTTTATATATAATTTAAATTGATATAAAAATTAAAGCTTTGCCTTTAAGTGTCAGATAAAGGTATGGTACCTATTCGAATTCTCAGGAAGATACTGGTCGATTAAGCTAACTATATGTAACATCCGTAAAAATAATTAAAATATTAAGTGAATATTCATGCAATAATATTTGATAATATTGATTTAAAAAAAAGTAAACATAAAGAATCAGATTGATAATATATTCAATAGATGCACTTTTAGTAAATGTCAGAAAGTTTTTAATGAAAGGTATAACATATATTTATGCATACATCAATTAATGAATAAAACAACAAAAATAAACACTAAAGGATCTAGGATATACAAAATGCACTAAAGGATATACAAAATGCAACAATCATTACATCGAAAAAAGAAAGAAACTAATTACATGTATGAAATGATGTTTAGATGATTATTGAAATTCTATTAAATAAAATTACAGAAACAATAATATTTTTAGAGATAAATTTTTTAATATTTATTTCATAAGATATGGTTATGCCTTACCGTTTGGAGGAGGGGGGAGGGATCAGCGTGAAAGCCTTCCAACTCCCATAGATCCAGAAACATTAGCAATTCAACATCTAATATGAATATTAATTTATTTTGAAAATCTTCAAAATTTCATTAATACTTTCTTACAAATCATTACTGATTGAATGAATGAATAATATACAAAATAAAACAATTTAATCACGAACTAAACATTTAATCTAGATGATCAGTTTTGAGATATTTAATATCAGTCATTGTACATCAGAATAGCAGTCTTTATGTATTTTATGAATTAATTTTTACCTTCTGTTAATAATGTTATGCAATTGGTTTACTGTCCATTAAATTCTAATTGAAGTTGTGGATTTATATATATATTTTTTTTTTGCTGACGCTTTGACCAATATTTTATAATAACGTTATCATTAGTACAATCTTTTTTTGGGGACATGATGGTACAACACCCCTGACGAAAAGAGTTTGTTCACATTTCTTCATTTTTTAGCCCTGATAAAAATCATAAAATAGGATAAATTATATGTTTTAGATCTCTGGACAGATCTCCAATAAAAATATCCTGAATATCTGACACAATTTAGCCTAATGGTTGTATATCAGATTGACGAATCCTTAATTTCTGATGTATAATACATGACTGAATAATTTAGAGAGTTTCAAGAACAAGTAGTACAAAATAATATTACAAAAACAAAGATTTCAACCAATGGAAATGAACTATCGGAAACACATATGTGAATGTATTATCTCCATCAGAGATTTACTTTAATAACAATAAATAGGAATATTTATTATACTACACATTACTATTTTTTCAAAAGCAATAAACCTGTGTTTTTATTCCATTTTACATTGTATTTGAGAAACATTTCAGCAATTGGACAAGA